TTTATAAGTTTTTCTGTGTCGTCATAGGTTAGTGATTTCAGCCAGTTACTTACGAGTATTTTACATTTGAATTTATTTATATTATGGATTCCCAATTGATATACAGGACAGGGTCATTTTTAATTTACTGAAAACCTTTTGGGAATACACTGTTTACAACATAACAACAACATCTGTAAGAAAAAAATAATAATTCTTAAATTTAACAAAATTAAAAATATTTTTATTGCACCTTCTAAATCGTAATAGTCCAGCATTAGCAAAAGAAAGTGCGTGTCCAGTGGAGGGGGAGAGGTGGAGGGGTGTTGGAAGCCGCGCCTACTCATTTAAACTCATTAAGCTTGGAAGGTGCAAAAAAATATTTTTATTTTTGTATGAAAATAAAAATTTAAGAATATATTTAGAATTAATAATATAATTTTTTCTTATATATATATATATATATATATATATATATATATATATATACATATTTATTCTATCCTAACCGTCAAAACGCACCTAGGGACGAACCCGAGGGTGAGTATTAAAGGTAAAAGGTTAATTAATAAAGTATAAAAGGTTATGTAATAAGAAAACACATTTTGTAAACATATTTTTTAATATTATATTGGAAAAATGTTTTTATTTATTTAGTTGAGAATTCCAGGGAGGGCAACGACGGGAGGGATGAGGGCTTCAGGTTCAGGTTGTTCGACGATGATCACATTTTCGGGTTCAGGCTGATCAACAACAATAACCGGGGTAGGTTTGATCTCGTCAATAATAACGGGGTTAACGCTAATAGGCACAGGTTCAGGCTGATCAACAACAATAACGGGGGTAGGTTTGATCTCGTCAATAATAACGGGGTCAACGCTAATAGGCACAGGTTCAGGCTGATCAACAACAATAACGGGGGTAGGTTTGATCTCGTCAATAATAACGGGGTCAACGCTAATAGGCACAGGTTCAGGCATACCCTCAACAATCACGGGACTGCCAACGATGCCAGAGTTTGGGTTAACATTGACAATGATTTGGACTAGGGGAGAGCTTGCGGGAGCGGCAACTTCGTTGTCAATAATAGCGGGTCCAACGGATATGGGCTCATATATACCGTCAACGATAGCGGGTCCAACGGAGATGGGCTCGTATTCACCGTCAATGATAGCGGGTCCCACGGAGATGGGCTCGTATACACCGTCAACGATAGCGGGTCCCACAGAGATGGGCTCATATTCACCGCCAACGATAGCGGGTCCCACGAAGATGGGCGCACCGTCAATGATAGCAGGTCCAACGGAGATGGGAGCGGGTTTGAGTTCAGTGATAGGCTCAGTTGGCTTGGCCGAAGCCGCGAGGGCGCAGAGAGCGAATACTACTAGGAATTTCATTTTTATTTCTGAAACACGAATAATATTAAGTTAACACGATTATGTCTTTACAGCTTCGAAAATTAAGAAGATACTTAATTCTATTGTATGTTTATCTGTGTACCTTTTAAGTCAAAAAGGAATTTAAAATATACAAAACAATTATATTATATACAAAATAATTATGAAGCCAATAATTTATAAATTCAAAACTTATACTAAGGACTGATTTTTACAATAAAATATAATATGACAATAGGTATTACATCAACTATGATTTCTTTATGTTGTATAATTTGAAACGATTGAAAAATCTGCCCTTCTGAGGCTACTTACTTGTTAGATTGCTATGAGGTATTCTATGAAATTAAAAATATTTCCTTTGATTTTATACTAAAATTTATCTTTATAGGTCTATCATTATATCTTTATGGATCTATGAATAATCTTCTTATGTTTATCATTAGGAAGTTTCTATGACGGGGTTTTCACCTAACGTTTTACATACCTATAGGTACAGATATTGAACATGAAATATCTGAATTCTCATTGAAATATTGACCGATTTAGATCTCGTTTGAAGTGCTAACATATCCGTTCTGATATATCCGGTCTGACATATCAGTTTTAACTTGTCCGCATCTTTTGAATATATAGGTTTTCGACTATCCATTGCAGATTATTTTCAAAAGACATTCAGTAAGTATAATGTATGTATATATTCTATAAATCCTTTTAGTCGGTGAGCCATCATTATAAACACAGAATCAAGCATGCTTACTAAACGAGGGAAGGATTCAATCCCCCATATTATGTGATATGTATTAAAATTACCCATGACCAAGACAGAAATCAAAAAACGGACTAAAAATCAAAACCTTTGCTGAAAAGATGTCGGGGCCGGAGACAATTGTTTGGCAGTATAAAATGGGTACAACTATTTTAAAGGGATGTATTTTTACATGTTCCAGACAGTTTTTATCAGTTCAGATTGAGAGGTTCGTTTAGGAGGACATTATGTTACTTTTCAGAAATTTGTAAATCTGCAGCCCTACAATAAGTTAAATGATTATCGACTAAGTCTATACTAATATTATAAAGACGTAAAGTTAGTGAGTTTGTGAGATTGTGAGTTTGTGACGTGAACCGAACCAATTTAGATGAAACTTTGTAAGAAGATAGTTTGAGACCGTGGGAAGGATATAAAATAGTTTTCATCCCGGAAAACATCCCCTAAGGAAGTGAAAATGGGAATGAAAGTTTGAATGGGGAATCAAACTAGGGAAGAACCCGAGCGAATCGAGGGTGAGTCGCCAGTAGAGATATAAATAGACGAAGTTGCAGGTTAAGCTTGTTTGCAATTAAGTTATTCAAATTCATAAACAGTAACTTAATCTTTCCATTTTTTTAAAACTAACTAGCGGCTCACCCTCGCTTCGCTCGGGTTCGTCGCTAGGTACGTTTTAAATAAATATAAATAGTTATTAGCCAGTGTTATTAGCCATATAAATATTTTTTTTTCGTTAATTTTTCTGACGTTTTAATACTTAGGTATTAACCTATTCCGGAATGAGAGAAATCCAAAAATTCAAATATCATAAAAATTGGTCCAGCCGTTCTTGAGTCTTGTATACGGGAACGCAGTCGAACGGGCTAAAAAGTCCTATGTCCGTCTCCTGGTTCTAAGCTACCTCCCCACCAAGTTTCAGCCAAATCGGTTCAGCCGTTCTTGAATTATAAATAGTGTAACTAACACGACTTTCTTTTATATATATAGATGAAGTTGTATACATACTCGTATAATAAATTTGTAACTAAGCCGAATCTGTACATTAAATATTTTTTGAGAAATGTTATTGAAATAGACATTATTATCAAAAGAGGCCAAATCTATAGTTTTTAGAATTTTTGTCTGTCTGTATGTCTGTCTGTTACCGCATCACGGAAAAACCACTGGAGGGATTTTAATGAAATTTCGTATGATGATAGCTGGTTATCCGGGTCAACATATAGGATACTTTATACTGCGGGAAAATATCTCATTTCTAAGAAAAAATACAAAACCTGCAATGTAAGAGTATACTAATATGTAAAACCTAAGAATTTGGTTTTTGGTCATCTGAACGCGGGCGGAGCTGCGGGCAATGTTGGTATATAATATAATCTTGAATATTATTACTTTAAATAATGTAACGTTATGAAGAAGTATTGTATATCTATTAGCGAGATTATCTATGATATATTTGTATTTTTTTTAAAATTATTTGTAATCGTCTTAATAAACTTTAAGTGATTCTATCGCAATTATTATAATTAGTGCTTTGAAACGGTCTAAAATCTAAATGAATATCTTCAGATTGTACTTGCTCATTTTACAGTAGCATAGGTTTAGTCAAACAAAGCAGCATAAGTGAAGACTATTTTATCTAGCAGGAAAGCTTGCGCTATAAATAATGATATTATGTCGAAAATTTGACACTTAATCGAAAATAATCTACAAGGCTATTTTGACTAGGTATTTCCCTTCACGTGCGAATACGTTACGTCGATTTATATTATTCGTCGTCCTCGAATTACGTCGATGCGTTATTTCTGCGATTGTTTATCTTGCCCTCAAAACGATTTCTAATTATTCTGATTCACTTATCGATTTGCAAATTAAAATAGATAACTACAAATGTACAATATTTTGACACGTTGGTTCAATACTTACTGTTTATGTATTTATCAAATATCGATTATCGATATCGACGACTGTTAATCCATTGAAAAGTGTCAATGATGATTTTTCAGAATAAAATAATTTCTTAAATATTTATTTAAACAATTGAAATATATAAAAACGATTATAAACAATAAAAAAAATATTTAAGAAAAATTAAAAATAATGAACATTATTTCACCTATGCAATAAGATGGTAAATTTAAAAAAAATCCCAAAATAGTCTATTTGCTTATAAACAATTTCTTAACAAATGACGTAATTTTTTTTCCAATGTTAATTAATAACATTATTAGATGCAAAAACAGCAATAATAAGATATTACCTAAAAAAAATTGTTGATAACATTTTTTATACATTTTTTTTTGTTAATTTAAAAAAATTATAATTAACAAAATAATAAACTCTAATAATTTTTTTTGCATTACTTTATTAAGTACCTAAATAAGAAGAGCTCCACGAAGTGAAAAATTTATAGACCAATTATTTAAACTTTTATGCCGTAATTTATAAAATGACAAAAAATATAATTAAAAATATAATTTAAAAAATGACAAAAATTAGTTAATTAACAATGGTGTAACTTTTCGAAAAATCACCTTAAAAATTTTTTTCAAAGCTCGCTTACTCTTATTTTCGTCTATGGGTATTAGTAAACTAAATTAAATTATGATTTTCTGTACTTATTACTAGTCTAAATTATACGTTAGTTTGATACTATTAAATTCATGAACTCATGGCATCATTCTAAATATCTGTAAGTGGATAGAGGTCAAACACCATTAGAGCTGATTGCGGCAATAGTAAATTCTTCGTTTACATAATTAATAAATAAAGTATAAAATGTAGTGTATAAGAAAACACATTTTGTAATCATCATATTTTTTTTAATATCATATTGGAAAAATGATTCTATTTATTTAGTTGAGAATTCCAGGGAGGGCAACGACGGGAGGGATGAGGGCTTCAGGTTCAGGTTGCTCGACGATGATCACATTTTCGGGTTCAGGTTCAGGCTGATCAACAACAATAACGGGGGTAGGTTTGATCTCGTCAATAATAACGGGGTCAACGCTAATAGGCACAGGTTCAGGCTGACCAACAACAATAACGGGGGTAGGTTTGATCTCGTCAATAATAACGGGGTCAACGCTAATAGGCACAGGTTCAGGCATACCCTCAACAATCACGGGACTGCCAACGATGCCAGAGTTTGGGTTAACATTGACAATGATTTGGACTAGGGGAGAGCTTGCGGAAGCGGCAACTTCGTTGTCAATAATAGCGGGTCCAACGGAGATGGGCTCGTATACACCGTCAACGATAGCGGGTCCAACGGAGATGGGCTCGTATTCACCGCCAACGATAGCGGGTCCCACGAAGATGGGCGCACCGTCAATGATAGCAGGTCCAACGGAGATGGGAGCGGGTTTGAGTTCAGGGATAGGCTCAGTTGGCTTGGCCGAAGCCGCGAGGACGCAGAAAGCGAATACTACTAGGAATTTCATTTTTATTTCTGAAACACGAATAATATTAAGTTAATACGATTATGTTTTTACACATTTTAAAATATCTTTTTAAGTAATAAAAGTAACATAATATATAGTACCTGGGCGACCGAGCTTCGCTCAGAGTTTTTGGCAAAATGTACAATTTTCTTAAAAAAAAACTAAAAACTTGAATAAATACAAAAAAAAAATAAAAAATGCAAAAGTAAAATTTTTGTATCCGACCGGGATTCCAACCCAAGATACCTGTGAATGTCAATCTTGCGTTTTGGCCGCTTGACCACGATATAAGACTTATTTATATCGATTTTTCTCCCCTGAAAACCACCATACTTCCGAGAAATCGTTAGAGCCGTTTCCGAGATCGCCGGTATAAATAAGTAAATTTACATGAATCGCTCGTTCACCAACTTTGCAAATTAAGAAGGTACTTAATTCGATTGTATGTTTGTCGGTGTAACTTTTAAGTTAATAAGTAATTAAAATATGTAAATTTTATACTGAATTAACAATGTATACAAATAAAAATTATATTAAAATTTATATACAAATTAAATACGCCAACAATTTATTAATTAAAAACTTATACTAAGGACTCATTTTACAATAATTTAATTATCATATGAAAATAAATCAACTATTATATAACATGATTGAATATTAAATTACAATAGTGGACTGAAAATTTTACTCATACAAGTAATTTTGATTTCTTTATGTTGTAATTGGATAATTTGAAACGATTGAAAAATCTGCCCTTCTGAGGCTACTTACTTGTTAGATTGCTGTGAGGTATTCTATGAAATTAAAAATATTTCCTTGATTTTATATTAAAATTTATCTTTATAGGTACATGATTATATCTTTATGGGTCTAGGATTATATCTTGAACTATGAATAATCTTCTTATATTTATCATTATGAAATTTAATAGGTTATCATTTAATGTTTTACGTTTATATTCAATATATGAATTCTCATTTAAATATTTATCGATCTTGATCTCGTTTGAAGTGCTAACATGTCTGTGTCAACATATCCGGGCTGACATGTCCCGTCTAACATATCAATGCTAGCATATCAGTATTAATTTATATGCATATATTTTTTGATATATAGGTTTTCCACTATCCACTCCACATCATTTTTCAAAAAACATTCCGTAATTATATTTTATACATCCTTTTAGTCGGTGAGCCATCATTATAAACACAGAGTCAAGCATGCTTACTAAACGATGGGAGAATTTATTTCAGAAATAATATCCCTATTTTATGAGATAGATTTTAAAATGACCCATGACCAAGACAGAAGTCAGGAAGCGGACTAAAAATAAAAAACCTTTGCTAAATTTGAAGGAATGTGTCTTTATATGTTCCGGACAATTATTAACAGTTCAGATGCAAATTGGGAGTTCCGTTTAGGAGGACATTATGTTAGTTTTCAAAAATTGGTAAATCTGCAGTTCTCCAATAAGTTAAATGATTATCAATTAAACAGAAATACAAACAGGCGAAGTTGCAGGTAAAGCTTGGTATTCAAATTCATAAACTCAATCTTTCTATCTTTATAAAACTAATGAAATTGTAAATAATATAATCTATTGAATATTATTACTTTAAATAATGTAATTTTATGAAGAAGTATTGTAAATCTATTAGCGAGTTTATCTTTGATATTTTTGTATTTTTTTTTAATTATTTGTATTCGTCTTAATAAACTTTAAGTGATATTACAATAATTTTTTTGCTATGTACAGACATTCGACCTCTACTGTTTTATTATAGTATAGATGTGAAAGTGTGATTCTTTGTTTGTTTGTTTGTTAAACTACCTTTTTAGAGATTTTTTGTAGATTTAGCGCGAGCGTAGCCGCGGATTCTGCTAGTAATAATATAGATTTTAATAAAGTACATATAATATTACATTTCTTTACATTCCATTTTTATACTCAAATTGGAATAAAGGACAGGTATTGGCCGCAAGTTCGCTTTCTCGTATTTTCGTCTATGGGTATTAGTAAACTAAATTAAATTATGATTTTCTGTCCTTATTTCTAGTCTAAATTATACGTTAGTTTGATACTATTAAATTCATGAACTCATGGCATCATTCTAAATATCTGAAAGTGGATAGAGGTCAAACACCATTAGAGCTGATTGCGGCAATAGTAAATTCTTCGTTTACATAATTAATAAATCTATACTTATTATAAAAATAAGTCCCCCGGCCGCGTCTTTCTGTCCTCCTGTCTGTCCTCCTGTCTGTCTGTACGCGATAAACTCGAAAACTACTGAACGGATTTTTATACGGTTTTCAACAATAGAAAGAGTAATTCTTGAGGAAGGTTTAGGTATATAATTTATTATGCTTTTATGTAAATTAGCTAAAATACGGCGACAAATGTTGAAGAGGTCGCAAAAAATCTCGCCAAATGGGAACTTTCCACGCGAACGCCGCGTAAACTAGCAAAGATACAGTTAAGTAATGTACTAGAGAATTCAAAATCTATAAAAATGCTACAAAAAAGTCCGCGATAGCATATCTCTATCTCTTATGGTTGACTTACAATAACCACTTTTATGTTAACATTTTTAATTAAAAACATTACGTTATTTTCAAAGTTATTTTCTTTAGTTCGGTATTAATCCTTATCCAAATGAATATTTTAGTTAGCTTAGTCATTTAATGCAGATTAAAATTGCTCTTTACACTAAATCAATCAGATGAATAGTTTTTGAGATATCGTTGTTAGAAGTAATTAGTAGCGAAACATTTTTAATGCTTGGCGAGCATTGAGATGCCTACGGCGAGTCCATCCCCTCTGCCCCGCATCGCTCGACCGCCTGCTCAAGCTATATAAACCGGGCGATGTAGCGCTAGGATACTTTTTACCGCGGGAAAATATCTTATTTCTGAGGAAAAATACAAAAACTGCAATGTAAGAGTATACTAATATGTAACACCTAAGAATTTAGTTTTTGGTCATCTGAACGCGGGCGGAGCCGCGGGCAATGCTAGTAAAGTATAAAATGTAGTGTAATAAGAAAACACATTTTGTAATCATCATATTTTTTTTAATATCATATTGGAAAAATGATTCTATTTATTTAGTTGAGAATTCCAGGGAGGGCAACGACGGGAGGGATGAGGGCTTCAGGTTCAGGTTGTTCGACGATGATCACATTTTCGGGTTCAGGTTCAGGCTGATCAACAACAATAACGGGGGTAGGTTTGATCTCGTCAATAATAACGGGGTCAACGCTAATAGGCACAGGTTCAGGCTGATCAACAACAATAACGGGGGTAGGTTTGATCTCGTCAATAATAACGGGGTCAACGCTAATAGGCACAGGTTCAGGCTGATCAACAACAATAACGGGGGTAGGTTTGATCTCGTCAATAATAACGGGGTCAACGCTAATAGGCACAGGTTCAGGCATACCCTCAACAATAACGGGACTGCCAACGATGCCAGAGCTTGGGCTAACATTAACGATGATTTGGACTAGGGGAGAGCTTACGGGAGCGGAAACTTCGTTGTCAATAATAGCGGGTCCAACGGAGATGGGCTCGTATACACCGTCAATGATAGCGGGTCCAACGGAGATGGGCTCGTATACACCGTCAATGATAGCGGGTCCAACGGAGATGGGCTCGTATACACCGTCAACGATAGCGGGTCCAACGGAGATGGGCTCGTATTCGCCGTCAACGATAGCGGGTCCAACAGAGATGGGCTCGTATTCACCGCCAACGATAGCGGGTCCCACGAAGATGGGCGCACCGTCAATGATAGCAGGTCCAACGGAGATGGGAGCGGGTTTGACTTCAGGGATAGGCTCAGTCGGCTTGGCCGAAGCCGCGAGGGCGCAGAGAGCGAATACTACTAGGAATTTCATTTTTATTTCTGAAACATAAATAATATTAAGTTAACACGATTATGTTTTTACACCAAACATTACATTTTATTTTTTGGCCAAAAGTACAATTTTCTTTTGAAAAAGAAACTAAAAACTTAAATAAATACAAAAAAAAAACAAAAAAAAGCTAAATTAAAAACTTTATATCTGACCGGGATTAGAACCCGGACACCTGTGATTGTCAACCTTGCGTTATGGACGCTTGACCACGATGTGTATGTCTCGGCATGCTAAATTAGCGATCATATTTTGTGTGAAAGAATGCGAAAGAAAACCGCATGAAAACACGAAAACAGGCGTTTTCCCAGACATAAGATTAATCTAGATCGATTTTTCGCTCCCGAAAACCCCCACATACCAAATTTCAGCTAACAGCTCGTTTAAATATATTATTAGATTTGTAATATATAATATGCTTCAGTTAGTTTTAGGTTATTTCACCAACTTCGAAAATTAAGAAGATAGTTAATTCGATTGGATGTTTGTCAGTGCATCTTTTAAGTTAAAAAGTAATTAAAATATATAATTTTATACTGAATTAACAATATATACAAATATAATTTATATTATAATGTATATACAAATTAAATACGCCAACAATTTATAAATTGGAAACTTATACTAAAGACTGATTTTACAATAATTATGATTTGAAAAATAAGTCAACTATTATACATATAACACGATTGAATATTAAATTACAATAGTGAACTGAAACTTTTACCCGTGCAATAAAATTTGATTCCTTTATATTGTAATGGATAATTTGAAACGATTGAAAAATCTGCCCTTCTGAGGCTACTTACTTGTTAGATTGCTGTCAGGTACTCTATGATATCAAAAATATTTCGTTGATTTTATATTAAAATTTATCTTTATGGGCCTTTCAATAATCTTCATACGTTTATCATTAGTCATTACTATGAATCGGTTATCACTTAACGTATTAAATATAGATACATACATATATGTAGGTACAGACAATGAACGTATCTGAATTCTTATTTAAATACTAGCGACTCACCCTCGCTTCGCCATACATACAATCTTTCATCCCCATTTTAACCCTTTAAGGGATGATTTTCGCGATAAAAACTATTTCACTCACTCACTTTTTATATCATGAGACTAAAAAAACTTATTTTAGTAAAAGAAATTTCGTTTCATTTCCTTTCTTGCAAAGCTTGTCCTGACAATAACAAACACAAAAAAAGAATTATCCAATTTGGGCCAGTAGATCGGAAGTCAATCAATTTTATTCATAATTATATATCAAATCGATGGGATATGAAAGAGAAGTACCTTAAATATTGAACTTATTAATTTTTATTTAAAGGAAACATTTCTTTAAAAAAAGCTTAATGTTTTTTAAAAAAAAGCTTACCGGAACCGGAAATCGAACCAAATAAAAATGCAAAAAGAACACCATCACTATTTTATATCTCTCACATATCGACCTTCTTCCATAGACCCTATCGAATTAATCGATAGGGTTTATGGAAAGGATAAAATCTCTCGAACAAACATTCCCTATTTGAATTGAAGAAAATGATGAAATATTACAAATTATGCATATTATCGACTCTAACATCGTGGAACAAATGCTTAGGACATGAAAGAAAAATGTCTTAAACACTAAAAATATCAAGAGTTACTCAAGGAAACATTTTATTTTTAAATATAAGATTAACTGCATTTAATTATTTTTTTAAAAGAGGTGACCTGAACCGGTAATCAAGCCAACTGATAATGCAAAAATGTACACCGTCACAATTTTATCGAATTAATGGATGAGTCTATGGTAATGTATCAAACGAAAATTGTATGTTATAATTGATGAAAACTGTGAAATCTTACAACTAGCACATATATGTGAGTCCTTTTCTATACTAATATTAATTATAAACAGGAAAGATTTGATTTTTTGTTTGTTTGTTGGTACCGAATAGGCTCCGAAACTAATGAACCGATTTAGATGAAATTTGGTAAGAAGATAGTTTGCGACCCTGGACAGGACATAGGATAGTTTTTATCCCGGAAATCATCCCTTGAGGGTGTGAAAATGGGGATGAAGATTTGTATGGGGAATCAACATAGGGATGAAGCCGAGCGAAGCGAGGGTGAGTCGCTGGTAAAAGATAAAATAACAATGAACTTGCTCGTAGTTTTTGCATAGATATTATTTCCTAGTCGGTCTAGGGGCTAAAATGTACGGCTACAGATTGAGAGATCCGATTAGGATGACATTATGTTATTTTCTCAAAATGGTTTTGCCTCCTCCAATAAGTTAAATGATTATCGACTAAATAGAAATATAAACAGGCGAAGTTTCAGAAAAAGCTTGTTATTCACAAATAGTGATTATTCTATGTCTATAAAACTAATAAAGTTGTAAATAATATAATCTACTAGCGGCTCACCCTCGCTTCGCTCAGGTTCGCTTCTAGAAAAACAAAAACAAATCTATTCTACGAGACCCGTACATTTTCCGGTATAAAAAAGTAGTCTATGTGTTATTCTGATCTATGTACTATGTTATTGTAAAGTTTCATCAAAATCCATTTTTTGCGTGGAAGAGTAACAAATATACATCCATACATATATTCTTACAAACTTTTGCGTTTATATTAGTAGGATTGGTAATTTAAATAATGTAACTTTATGAAGTAGGTATATATCTATTAGTAAGATTATCTTTGATATTTTGGACACTAAATATTGTTAACTTATCTTAAACTGGTTGAAAAGTACCGCTTCATGTCCATTTCTCTAATTCGTCTAGAAAAACGTATCTAATAATTTCAAGATGACTCTTTTGATAAAGAGAATGTTTTTCTTATGAATGTTACTTATTTCTGGATTGTTTTCAACTGACTTTAAAAAAGGAAGTTATTAATTCAACTCATGCTTTTCGGAGTCCTTAGACCTTAGACCTCTATTGGATCTTAGACCTTAGTGGCTTTTTTCGGAACAAATGTGAGATCTAAACTTTTATAGACATTATAGCCATTTCTGTAATGACTGCAACTTGACAGAAGAGAATCTGCTGATCACCAATAAACCAGTAGCTAGCTGGCGTGATAGATAATAACAAACATAAGTTTCTAAACATCGCCACTTTGCCAGACTAATGAGACAACTCAGACAATTATTAAAAAAACGGGTGTGTGTGTACCTACTTACATATATGTATACGCACGTAAGAAGTTATACTTCTTTGGCGTAACAGAACAAAAATAGCTAAATATTTCATCCCGTAGGCCGTATGTCTCAACTTTCAGTTTGTAAAAGGAATGCAGCTAACTTTATCATGTCGCTTTTTAGCTGTCGGTGTGCGCGCGCATCGTAAAAATACTCTCATATTTTTTTCCAAACGTGCCAAAATAAGTATAACTTCAAAAATCTGTCTTTTAAAAAAGTTATACTTACATATTTTATAACAATGCCATTACATACGGAAGTCTTATTATACCTGTCGTATTTGTAAAATATTCCTTTATCAAGGTTAAAAATTAGCAATCAATAAAAATTTACTTCAAAAGCATTTTATTATGACGCCATTTAAAATTTTAGTAGCGAAATCGATATTGTCGATGTTATATGGCCATAATCCATAAACAGTAATTTATAAGCTTAATTTCTTAAGATAATAAATGTTCCGCCTGAAATAAAATTTATGGACGGGATAATAATACTTTTTGCAGTATATTGTAGTAGAAATTGTTATAGGTATTTGAATGTAATGCTGAAAAAAATAAATTTTTGACCGATTTAAAAAAGAAGGATATTAGGGGTATGTGATTTTTAGTCCCTCCACGACCGCGGACACGCCGGCGTTACAGTTAACAATAGATTTCTTAGAAATTTAATTAATTTCTTAGAAATTTACCTGGTGGTGTTAATGTCCTGTGGGTAGGTACTGTTTGCTCTCACTGGTAATACATTATCAATGCAATGCAATTTTTATATCAATACCTCACTATCATAATTTCATTTTTTTTACAATCTTTTATTTAACTATAATGTTTGCAGTTTGTTAGTCAGTATGTTTGTATAGGTAAAATATAACAAGCTGAATTAGAACCACTTCCTTTCATCCTACAGTGTTGAAATTTTATATGTTGGTTCAGTTCAGATGATAATTAATGACTTTTGGATAATTAGGACCTAATTCTCCATCAAGGATTGACTCCAGACGAAGCAACTTCTCAACGGTAAACAGTAGGTACAGACACGTTTCCCCCCCAACGTGCGTTCACCTTGTCGTGGTGGGGAGGCTCAGTAGTAGTAGCGAAGCTAAGAAACGCACAGGGAGGTTGCCCACTTTGGTGGGCGGTGGGAGGTGGCCCTCTTCGGGGGGCGGTGTACCTTGCGGGTTGCTCCTGGTACTTCTCTGATAGCAGAGTGGACCTTGGAGCAACCCCATGGTTGTGGTGGTCTGCTTTGGCAGACCTGCCGTCGGGGCGTCGTAGTTGAATGCGTAAGCGATCCTGCGACGCCCCATTAAGACGGGGAAAGGTTTTGTTGGGTTTTAGTGGGTAGTACTGGCTGTATTACGCCGGTGAGTCCCACACGTCGTGCGTAAATGCATTTCCCAACGTTAAAAAAAAAGGTACAGACACGTTTATTATACGCAATCAATTATAAATATAGCCCGCTCTAAAATCTACCATGACTTGGCTGCTGCATCTAGGGTTGCCTCCAAATGAGACATATCTCCTCAGCGATCTACGAAATTTCGTATAATATGTATTTATATTGTACCTATTCAATTACAATGACCTGGTTGCTGCGCCCAGTTTAGTACCTTTTGCATTTTCATTTTACTATAAAATAGAATATACAAAATATTCATGAAAAAAAAACAAAGTTTAGTAGGTATTAAAAAAAATAGGTATCACAAAAGTAACAGTTTTTTTTATTACAATTAACATCCAATTCTACAGATGTTTGTTTTGTATAAAATGTTATTTATATTACTTACAAGCGAAACTCTAGCAAAACAAAAACAAACCTATCCCACGGAAACCGTATAAATATTTTTCAGGGATAAAAAGTAACCTATGTGATAATCCAGACTATTATAATCTATCTCTGTGCCAAATTTCATCCAGATCCGTTCAACCGTTCTGGCGTGAGAGAGTAACAAACATCCATACTCACAAACTTTCACATTTATAATATTTATACAGATATAAGCTTTATTAATGAAAATTGAATCTTACAAAATTATACTTGAATTATTATTATTCTAATTTTATTTTTGTTGTTATGCATACTCTTTTTGGCGCGTTAGGAAAAAAAATGTTTTTTTACGATACAATAAATTTTGACGTAGTGAGATGTCACGTGTACTTATTTTGAAGCGCTGAAAGCTTTATTCCAGATCTGCCTTCTCTGCAGTGGTATAGCGAGCATATGCGAGAGAGCTAGTATTTGCTTCAGGTATTGCAACCTTATTGTCTGTCTAGACATTTTTATTACGGTGCATAATTTTCTAAAATTAAATTAGTTTATACTTGTATTTAAAGTAATATATTATTACAAGCTTTTATTTAGTTTCACCTGTCCCGGTGTCTGTCTCTAATCATCTTACAAGTTAAATTTTCCACATCCCAGTCAGAAATTCAATCCCATAAAGGGAATATCCCATAAGGGATGAAAGTTTAGATGTTTTGATTTAGATGATACGAAGCTCTGTAATTAATGTGTAAAAAAGTACAAATAAATAAAAAATATTTTCAACTGTAGACAATTTAAGAGAAAATTACTTTCTTTACAACGTTGACCTTAAATATAAAGATTGTGATTTCGCTAATTTTGGACGTCTTATTACTTAAGCCCACAATTTCTGCAGTTTTTGTTTTTTGAGAACAAATGATATCTAATATCTTTGCATTCTGGTACTGCACAATTTGACATTTTAATTAAATTGTAAATAGAATGAAAAAAAAACCATCTACGCTATATAGCTTTACAATATACTGAGAAGCTAAGAGCCATTGTGATCGCGACATCTGACGGGAGGAAAAGGCAAAATTCTTCCTCATTACACTCGAAAATTTTAAAAGTACAATAAAAGTAAGTAAGTGTGAGTGACTTTCGTCTTCGACTGAAGTGGCTCCCTATTCGCCTTCGCCGGAATATGCGCATACTTACGACGTTATACACTATTTTAAGTAATTCTTCTCCTACGTACTTACGCGAGCGTTTTCAGCTATCGATCCCTAGCTCAAGACCCATAATACGCCCCTGTGTTAGGCTAAAAAAGCTTAACGTACCTTCTTATAACACTACTTTTTATGAGAAATCCTTCACAGTACAAGCAGCAAAACTCTGGAACTCCCTTTCCGATAAGATTACAAATGACAATCCATCACTAAAACTGTTTAAATCTCGCTTAAAAGAACTTTATCTAAGTGACTCCATATGATTTCCTTATTATATATTTCTTGAAGTATGTGTATGTATGTATGGATATATATATGTAATATGTATGTATATGTATATATGTATGTATGTTTGTATATATGTATATTCATATTATAATTGATGTTTGTAGTTTGTACCTACACCGCACCGCATTATTGTTTTTATATTTTCTCATTTCTCACGCTTGAGGGTTTCTGGTAGAAATCTCTTAAAGAGATAAGTCATCCTTTGTACACATGGCATCTGTTTTAACTTGTATGTTTTTTTTCTGGTACATAAATAAATAAATAAAAAAAAAATTATTTATAACGTTTTATTTCAAAGAACTACAAAATTCTAAGCTATCCAAGCGGAGTGTAATGTTTTTAAAAATCTTAAGTTTTGTAACTTCAATAATTTCTGAACTAAAATTATCCACATACTTTGAAATTGACAAATACATATTATTAGTGTTCCTAACTCAGTGGATTTTCCACTAGATCTGGTGGATTAGACTTGCCTTTCAGCGGACAAATATTGGTTTTATTGCCTAGTGGATTTTCTAGTGGTTTAGATTGCTTCAGTTAGTGGTAACTGGTAAGGTGCGGTATTCAACCACTAGTACGATTTATATGAATACTCTAGTTATGAATGAGCAATTGAAACAAGTGTATAGGTATTTTTTGTTGTGTAGACAACACAATAGAACTAACATGATTCATTATTAGGGATTCCCTGAAAATTGACAATTTCAAGAATAATAGTGATTATGGAATTTATTTGCATGACAACTGGGTCTAATATGATTTAACTCAATGGCTTTGTTTACGTTTTATTCGCTATTCTAAGGCACACTTAAGACAGTACAGTTCAGAGTAGTAGTGTTCTGTGAGTTTGAGTAGGTGTCGGTAAAAGATTCTGGATTGTCTTATTTTAATTATTAATTTTGTTAAATGAATATGCCCAAACCACAGTACACCCAAAAGTTTCGTGATTGTTGGTTACGTGACCCAGAATTAAATGACTGGTTAGAAGTAGTGGAGAGGAAACAGGTCTCTAGGTATTTTGGATGAATCAAAAATCATTTGCAAAATTCAAAGGTACGTAACTAATTTAACATTTTTGCTTTAAGTAAAAGTATTCTACCAAAACCAGATCACACAGTACACGTTCAAAATGTTGAAGGTGGTCAATGGTGAATGGACCACAGCAACCTGGGCTGCCAAATCCTATAATTGGATACAAAAAGGGAATAATTTGGTTGTCTTATGTATCCAGTGTGTATATCATTGCCTTGTATAATTGGAAACAACAATAAAAATCATTTATCGAATAAGAAAAAAAACGTACAAATTGATTTTATATATAATGGAATTTTAGAATTGTTATTTTAAGTTGGTACAAATGTATACTTTATTTTATAGGTGGTACTGTGGAATGATCTTTTTTTTTTCGTTGTCCATTTGACGTTATCGTGGCTCCGAATAAGTTCAAAGTTGTCAACACTGCATATTACTTATATGTCACTGTCATTTGGTTTTTACGTAAACATAACCTAACTTACATTTTTTTATATTTCCAAGAGCTATATTAAAACCCAAAGATGAGACTAAATACTATTTTATTTACGGCACCCTCAAACAAAAGTGCAAGAAGACCTCAAAGGGAACCAATACCTTTTCAAATGCTTCTTCCATTACGGCTGAAGAAGACAGTATCTGGTAAGGGGGATAGAACACGGGAAGCTGCCTGTATGCAAGAAATGGCTGTAATGTTTGCCTGCTTTAAGAAAGCAGAGTTTGATCAGGAACAATGCTTGAAAGAAATATCGGCTTTTCAATCCTGTTACAAGAATTATAGTGAGCGTGCTGAAATCCAGCGACAACAAGGCAGGAAGGGTATATTAGTTCCAGGCGAGAAAAATCTTACACACAGACAAGTTAATCAACTTTTAAAATCTTTTCCACCTAAGAAGTAGTGCAAAATATATATTTAACTAGTGTATAATAATATAGTGTATTAAATCTATAACTATATTTTTATTTCAAATTGACTTTTTTCCATACACAACAAATAACAATTTATGGCTACCTTGAAAGTGATATTAAGTATAGTTTTCCAATGAAATGCCTGTATTCATGTAAAGAAACTTTCATATTACTTTATTAGGTACTAAGATCTATAAATAACTTTTAGCAACTTTAGAAACTAATTAATACATATATGGAAGATATAGAGAACCAATTAAAGGAAACAACCAATAAGTGCAATTGTTTATTAATAATTTCAAAGATTAGCCAAGTAAAACATATACTATAAAATCATAATTGTTTTGGGATTAATCAGCATGAAAATAGATCAACTAACTCTATTTATATATGTAAAAATCAAAGTCTGTTTTCCCCTTGGACTACAAAACTGCTGGAGCAATTTTGATGAAATTTTCAGGCAATCTTCAGATTAGTCCAGCAGGTGATCCTGTGAAGTTAAACGCAAGCAAAGCTGCTATTAAGAGTGCAGTGCAGATGTAGCATAGCTCACTTTGCTCTGTATATAAAGTCTGTTGCATAAACTAAGTTTTTAGTGTAAACAATAACTCCCATTGATTAGTAGCTGTATAAAAGAACAAAAGACCAACAGACACAGGATAATGCATTAATAATGAAACATTTATTTCTATTTTTTTGTAAATTGTTACTTTATTGGGAACAGATAAAAAAATAAACACAGAACATAAAGCATGTATTTAGAATATATTGATCACAATTCTATTACAAAAATAGCACATTATTATCACTTTGGGGCAGTGTGAATCCATTGGGGAGAAGACACTTGCAATTCTATGCGCCTTACTGTTATCAATTCATCGTCAGCTTCATGTACATTGTAAAACCGCTCCAATTCCTCGATTGCTTTATCTTCCAGCTACGAAAAAGTATATTAATTATTTACTTGTAAATTATTTACAAATTAGCTTCTGATACATATTATGTTTATGTATTTAGTCCACTGCTTCTCAAACTATTATCAAAAAAGTTATTTTTTGTTGGCTAAAACAAAAGTGATAATAATAAGTAGTGAAAAAATCCTAAAATGTATTAATATAGCAAAATTATGTATGTATAAAAATTGACATTCTAAGCAAAATATGAATATTATGAAGTTGAAGAGACTATTTTTTGAATGCACTAATTAATGTCCATCTTTGGCTATGGGTTGCTTGTTCGCATGTTGTTTTTATTTAAACGTAACACTGGTGGGCACGGGATTTCCTTCAATATGAGGAGGATTAGGCCTTAGTCCATCCATCACACTGGCCAAGTGTGTTTTCTCACAATAAAACAAGTGGTAATTATGTTGCAAATAATTCGCAAATAAAAAAAAATATCAGCGATGCGAAACCCGGAATCGATTGCCCAAGCGAGCGCGTTACCACTAGGCTACCACTGTCTTTATGCATGTACTTACATAATATAGTATATAAAAGTCTTAAAAACTAAGTAATAATATATATAATATAAAAACTTCCAAGTATTTCAGTTCTACGTCAATTCTACTTACCTGAGTCAAAGTAAGAGATTTTGTCATGATCCTTGAAGAATCATCCTTTTGCTTTTTTTGATCGGCCAAAATTTTATTAAACTCCATGGCATTTTGTTTATTGGGGCTACTCTGAGCTATGGGTGCTTCACAGATTTTCCATGGATTTTTTGGTTTGTCTGGTGGACTACCAATATTAAGTTTATTGGATAGATAGCTATCCAAAGTTTGGGGACTCTTTTCGCTCTCCGATGCTAATTTCTTCCGCTGTTTCTGAGATAGTTTTGGGCCAACATGGCTTATAACCAGATTACTTTGACCCCAACAAAATTCAGACTCCTTAGGAGACACTGACATTTGACGGGAGGTTGTTGGTATAGTGGGTTCTTGATTATTGGTATTAAAAGAGTTATTTTTAGTTAGTTTCGTGAAAGAATTTGTAGGTGGCTCATTCAATATATCCTTGGCTATAGATATGGCTTTGAGGCGAGCTTGAACAACTTTCTGCTGTTTTTGTTGAGATGTTGGCACTTCTGTCCATTTTTCTGTTTCACGGGTGTTCTTTTCACCACTCTTTGGAATCGCGGTAAGGGATAACGTGACGTCACCGGACGTATCGTTTGACAAGTCTAATGACGTCACCGAACTGACTGACTCGTATCTCATTCTCGCCTTCTCACTCTCTGTATACTCTATCTTCTTCTGTTTCTTCTTCTTACTTATTTCTGTGATACTGTCATCTCTTTTGACATCTTCATCAATTACTTCTAAATCTATAGGCAAGTTTTTGACGCATTGATCGATAGTTTCGTCGGTGGGCGAGTTAAAGAATGGAGTGACAACTCGTGAAGACATTATGGGATTGAATTTGCAGTAATATTTAGTTATATCTTGCAGTAAGGTGCCTTCTAAGAGATCCAAAGATCTGTTCTCAAGGATGCTGGATAAGTTTAAAGATATATATTCCATACAACATTGTTTCAGTTGGTTAGCGTTGTATGTGTGTGCAAATTGGCACAGTTCTGTGCAATTTTTTAAAGTGATCAGATTAGATAGTGCTATTTCGCACTTTTCCCTCAATCTGCTGATGAAAAGCTGGTCGGATACTATGAGCATGCTGCATATAAAGTCAATGCTGTCTGATCTCTCAACTTCTGGACAGGTATCTGTGTATAGGAAGTTAATGACTGGTAGTAGTATTCCATAATTTATTGGTAGTGTGACTTTTGATAGAAGCTTACTCTGAAACACAATTAATACATACTTATTATAACATTAATTTTAAATCCCATAAATATTATATGTAAATGCAAAAGTTTGGATGGAAGTTTGTTACTCAATCACGCCAGAACGGTTGAACGGATCTGGATGAAATTTGGAGATAGATTATAGTCTGGAATAGCACATGGGATAGAATTGTTTTTGTTTTATACCCCAACACTCTAATCTACTCCCTAGTGATATGTATTTTTCAATTAAGATCAAGAAATTAGTTCTATTTGAAAAAAAAATGACAATGAATTAGGCAAAATAATTGTTATATTTAAATACATTTACTTAGCTTTAGCTTAAATTAATAAATCGGTATTTTTTATTATTTCTGTACATTTTTCCACATAAATTAAAGCCAAAAGTTAAATTTATGCGAGTTTAGTAAATTCTATATCATTTACCTCAGTCCAAGAGTGCATGAACATTCCTTGGAAGTATTCAAGCCTGGCCGCCAATACACATTTATGAGCCGATATTAACATGCCATCCTTTGAACAAACGTTGGTATCAACTAACTCGGGGAACATATCCCGGTCCCATGTTAGAACATTCTTTGTATATGTTGCACTTTCTTTGAGACACACTGCGCCGTCCTTGTAACTTGAATGAAAAATTAAATTATATTAACGATGTTACTGATTTTTAGGAATGGTAATATGTCTGCTTGTTTCAGATTTATAGTCAAATATTTTTTTTTAAGTAAGAAGTTTTTTGAAGAATACTTCTTTTGTTACGTTTGGAAAAACTTATAAGAGTAAAATTTTTACGATGCGCGTGCACACCGACAGCCATTCTGCATTCCTATTACAAACAGAGAGCTGTGACATACGGGATGAAATCTTTACCTATTTTTGTTCTGTTACGCCAAACAAGTATAACTTATTACGTGCGTACATAAGTACACACACACGTTTTTTTTTTATTTTAAAATAATACACAGTTCTCCTACTTTACTTGACAGAAAACTCAATAACTGAGCTTGGCACAACCCGGGAGTCGAACCTTCTATTTCTAACTCTTACTAAGACCTGCGAATTTATGGTGTACATGCCACTAGACTACGGAAGCAGTCAATTTTTATTCATGATTATTATCATAGTATCATAGGCTGGAAATGGTTACACGTATTGGTGTACTACAATGGAGAAAGATTTTGCTTGATAAGATGAATACTTACAAGAATTTGTCGAGAAGTTTATGCAAGCCCATTACATGCAATCTCTTAGCCGTAGCTTGAACCAACTTGATTGGGTTGCAATACATATTCACTCGTGGAGGGGTCTCAGCGTTACGACGACGTCCTTTCTTTTTATCCTGGTTTTTGTACACTTCGAATGCTGATATCTCTGTTGGATTATCTAAAAGTTTTTTTAAAGATATATTTATTATAAATGTTTATTTTAAAGTCAATGATTTTATATACTTTTATTATTATATGATTGCCACATAGTACACGTAGAGGGCTAGTATTTTATAAAATATTTATAGTTTATATGTCTGAACAAATATAATTTAACATAATAGGGTTGTTGCTGCGTTTTTATTAGATAAAAAGATGATTAAGTGATTAAAAATTTGGAATGTATGTATATTATGATGATGTTCTCCTAGCCGATTGTATGTTATACAATAAATTCACATTAACAGTGTCCTTTTCAAATAAACAAGCACATAAAAAAGAAGTGTTCATTTGGCTTCTAGCATATTCACTATCACCTTCCATACACATATATAATATATATGTATGCAAAAAAACTCAATCTCACTCAAAACTCAAACTCAAATCAAAAATCATATTATTGCCCAAAAATACAATACCTATAACATCTTCAGTGTCAATATTCTCTTTCTTCGCACCAATTAAATCCTCCCTCCTTATTTTCAAGCCACAGGGGCCTAACTCAGTAACATCACAAGTACCCGTGTACATATATCTTAGTATCCTTTCAAAGACATCTGGATGAACGTTATCTAGACTTATTGTCGGTTTGTGCGTATTTGTGCTGTTTTCTTGGTACAATTTGTAGAGGTAGTCACTACTTGAAGCGATTATGAATATATGGGCGGGGTATTGTTTTTGACCAACCTGTAAAATGTATAGTTAAAAATATTTTATAATATATAAAAAAGCTATTCTAGCTATCCACAAAGGTAAGTTCCCAACATTTTTTGTTTGATATAGGCATAATTTGTGTCAAACATTGGCCATAGGTTTTTTTATCCAAATACATCAAGTGTTGAAATTACGATACCAAATTACGATATTGTAAACAGTCATTGACGAGATCAGTAAAAGTACCCGTTATTCGGAAGTTATAAAAATTGCATTTTTTCAGAAGACATACATAGATAAACTTAAAAAGCAAAACCTTAAAAATACAAAACTTGATCCAAATCGTTAGAGCCGTTTCCGAGATACACTGAATAAATTTACATATATAAATAATTCATGTATGTATAAAATAATTGCTTATTTAATATTATAAGATAAAAACATACCTTAAATATAACATCATGTAAGATATCATCCTCTGCGGCAGTCTCGAATAGAGATTCCATATGCTTGGTGAGACAAGATGCAGATAAATCTGGTAAAGATGTCAAACCACATGTTGGTTTCGTCTGCAATAAACATAAAAATAATAACAAATATTTTTTTTCTATAAAAATTTTGTTCAATACCAATTTAAAAATTCAAATATAGTGAAGCGGGTTCGAACCCTGGGAACTATTTTGAAATCATTTTTATCATTTGCTAACAATGCGATGGTCTACATTACGCACATTGGAACGAAGGTCTTGCCCAGCAAATGGATGGGCAGTGGGATATTCGAAGGACTGAATTATTTTATAATATTATTATCCATATAATTCTTTTTGGAGTTTTTTTCTCAAAAGTACTTAAAATTTCTGTTTCACGCTTTATTTATGCCAGCCATTTATGTTGTTGAACATATTTGTTTCATGTTGAACGACTACGACTCATACTTAACTAAAACAACTCCTTTATTCGGAGTAATGAAACATGTGTTTACCAAAATAAAATATAACGAAATAAAAAATATTAATAAAACAACCAAAAATCCATACAAATCCGCGAAAAAATCCGAAAAGAAAATTAAAATGTCCAATATTCGAATAAATCTAAGAAGGTATTATGTGTTTATAATTATTGTAAAATATTAAGACAATTATTTAAGAGTTCTACGAATTTAGTTTAAAACACACCTGAAGACATGCAAAATTGAGCCCTTCACTATCAACTGCAATTTCCACCGCCCTATGTATATTTGGTATTTTGGTGATCCTCACAGACGTGCAGTCGTCCTTTTCTAAAAACTTGACTAGGGCGGATTTATTGTCTCTTTCCCTCTCTTTCCTGATTGGTTGAGCGGGAGGGGGCGTGGCTTTGCGCGATATACTGCCAATGAACGCCTCACCGTATTTAGTCGTAAAGTAGAGAGCGTCGTGAGTCAATGCTACGTGAGTTATTATAGTTTGGTGATTTAAGCCGAAGACGCATCTGCAATCATATAAATACGCAAAGTTCAACATATTTCTTAATTCTAATAAACAAATAAATTACTATGTTGGGACATTAACACACAGCACCATCTGGTTCCATGGTAAGCTACGAGGCCTGTGATATGGATACCAGATAGTTGATCTACACCACACATATATAACTTTAAATACATACATATTATAAATATAAACACCCGTTACTGGATAAAAAGAATTAATATTTCTTTTCCGTACGACATTTGAACCTATATTCGCCATTTTCAACATTTATTAATAGTACCTGGGCCACAGGGCTCCGGTCGGAGTTTTTGGTTAAAAAGAACAATTTTCTGTAAAAAAAAAAACTAAAAACTTGAATAAATATTAAAAAATAAATATAAGTGAAAACTTTGTATGCGACCGAGATTGGAACCTGGACACCTGTGATTGTTGATCTAGCACCTTGGCCGCTTGAACACGATGCTTATACCCGAGTGTGCAAATTACCGACCATATTTTGCGTGGAATAATGCAAAAGAAAACTGCATGAAAACTCGAAAATACGCGTTCTCTCAGACATAGGACTAATCTAGATCGATTTACCGCCCCCGAAACCTGTGTACCATATTACATGAAAATCGTTGGAGCCGTTTCCGAGATTCAGATTACAATTAGTTTTTGGTCAAAAGTACATTTTTCTTTAAAAAAAATCAAAAAACTTGAATAAATACAAAAAAAACAAAAATAAATTATACCTTTGTATCCGACCGGGATTCGAACCCGGACACTTATTCAATCTTGCGCCTTGGTCGCTTGAAGATGATGCTTATATCCGAGCGTGCGGAATTATCGAACAATATTTTGCGTGGAATAATACAAAAGAAAATCGCATGAAAATTCGAAAACACGCGTTTTCCTAGACATAAGACTAATCTAGATCGATTTATCGCCCCCGAAACCCCTCGAGTACTAAATTTCATGAAAATCGTTGGAGCCGTTTCCGAGATTGAGATTATACATTGATATATAAATACATATACAAGAATTGCTCGTTTAAATATATTAGATTTATTTTTCATCATCCAGTCACAATATACTTAAATATTATTATAAAATAAATATAAACAATTTACCTAGTCAGTTTGTTTGTAGTGTCTTGCCAAAGCATGAGTTGACCAACGTTCGTCAGTAGTAAGACTGTCACCCTTGAATATGATCCTTGTTCATTTACCTTCGCCTCTACACACACTTGTTTGAGATTAATTTGCCTGAAAAATTAATTATTATAAAAATAATATTTATTTAAAACAAATAGAGATTGAGCCTACAGTATTAAATTATAGCAATACTAGGTATGTATATATTGATAATTCATTGTTTTTTATAACTATATTGGTTTACGCGGCACAAGCCAATAAAGCTCCCAGTCAGCATGATTTTTCCCGACATCTTCAAGAATAATCGACTTATTTCAGCCAATTCATACAAAACTTTAATGAATTTTTCACCTGAACCGTCCTCGTATTCATCGTATTTATCGCGTTCAGACAGACAGACACGGCAGTGAGACTTTGTTCTATAATATTATTAGTTCTATAATGTATATTTTTTAACAATATCTAGATCATTATATCTTAATCCATCCAATCCTTTGTATCTTTGACATTCTACATGACTTGGCGAAGTAATCTAAGCACTTAATAGGCACGTTTTGAAACCATTAACAAGAAAATTGAATTTACAATAAAAAGTGTATTTACACAAGACAAAAAATACCAATCTTACTTAACAGCGATCTTCTTGCACAGATATCTATGCAGAAGGTACACATCCCCACGACTGGTTGTTATGACCGTAGCCGCGTCCGTCGCGTCCACGAGTTGGAGACTGGATTCTTCTTTGTTGTTTAGCGATATACCAACCTGGTTTTTAAAATGAAATAATATATCATTGACTCGGTGGTGTAGTGGCTAACATTTGCACATATGGAGGTCCTAGGTTCAAGTCCCGGATCGGGCACGAGATGGCTTGAATTTAAATATATTGCATTTAAATGCATCCTATTTCTTGTCCAGGTATGAGGGTATACACCCAATTATAAACAAAAACATCAGTATGTAATACATGTACATACTCGTATATACATAGCACATATCGTTACCATGGATCAAAAAAGTACTAGATACACAATACCATGCAAAATTTCTCTTAAAACTGTCACTTATTTTGTTTAGATAATAATTCTAGTTGAAATAAATATATAACAATGTAAATAGAACCTTAAATGTAATGCTTAAAGTTATTTTCAAATGTTCAAATGAGCGCTCTATCAGTGAGGACATTTTTTGTCGCTGATTGTGTATCTAGTAATTTTTTGATCAATGATGGTTACCCATAAAAAAAGTTGTTAATGATAAGCGTGTGTTGTACATATGTGCGTTAATATCGAGAAATATAAAATGATTTCAATGCAATTTTAATTGTTATAGTTTCCATTTATTTAATCTAATTTCCATTATTGCGTTAAAAATTGCTTAAGCACTTATAGGAGCTGATAGTTGACGTTATACATATTGCGACAAACGAGCAGTCATCGAGAGACGCTAATGTAGAGAAAATAATATATAATACAACTAGCAGAACCCGCCTGCTTCGCCCGCGTTATATCTACAAAAAAACACTCTTTTGCTTTATGTTATATAGCGACTCACCCTATGTATTTGATTAATTTAATCACGTGTGAATATTTTAACTCCCACTTAAAGCACATAATATACTGAAACTTACCTTTTTCGGAACTTGAATAACTTTCTCTTCCTGAGGATGTCCCAACTGGCCCAAGTTTAGTCCCCAGGTGTACACCGCGTTCTTGTTCCAGACCACAGCGTGGGAGCGTCCCGCACTAATGCCCAACGGCTGAGATAACTTTATAAGCGGTTTGACTGACGCCAGCTTGATTGTAGAAGGACTCTTAACTGATGAGGGGCTTGGGTTCTCCGTGTTGTTCAATGTGTATTGGATCACCTAAAATAATTGTATGGTGATGGTATATTATCATTTATCACCTTCACAAATGTGTATATATGACATGACAAGTTTAAAATCAAAGACTAAATTATAATGGTTTTTCATCATCAAACATTTTTTTTCCTTTTTATATAGGTACCTAACTAGCAACACATCCTCGCTCCGCTCGGGTTCGCCCTTAGTTACGTTTTAACGATTAGTATGGATTCCTCAGAGATGTGATATTTTCTCGCAGTAAAAAGTATCGTATATGTTGACCCGGATAACCAGCTATCATCATACCAAATTTCATCAAAATCTGTCCAGTGGGTTTCTCGTGATGCGTTCCCAGATAGACAGACAGCCAAAAATTCTAAAAACTATAGATTCGGCCTCTGTATCGGTAATAATTGACTATTTCAATAAGATTTTCCAAAAAATATTTAATGGACAGATTCGACTTAGAATTTTATTATATGTACAGGTGTAGTGTAACAAAACTTTCACATTTATAATATTTATACAGATAGACGTACCTTTTTTCTTTCTTTTTAGATACTATAACTCAATTAATTATAAGGTACAAGTGTTGACTCTCATATTGATATTTTACCATTCTTACGCCCTGTCTATAAGAAAAAAATCCCTTACCGCTCCACTCTGTAGTAAGAAGACAGTCGACGTCAATGTGATAGCAACTTGTAGACATGGCTCGGATAGTTTAAGCGGTGTAGGACGTAGAGCGGTGGTATGAGGACCACCCGCACGAGCCGGTTGGCCGGCACACCATGCTTCCCCATTATCGTTAGAGCCACATACCCATACGCTATGGAATTTACCAAGACATACCTAGAAAATAAAGGGGAAAGGACGACTTATTATTTACTTATTAGGTACATATGTATGAAAGTACTAACTATTTGAGTATAAAATATTGGCATGATAATATTGCACGAGTTTTTCACCTCACTAAAAATTTCTTTCCTAAAATTTAAATCTTGAATCAGTGACTGTCGGCGCCTTCGGCCACTTGTGCACAAATATTTTCTTTTAAACCGCACTACTATAATCTATAAGTGGATATCGGGAATTAGAATTAAAGTAATAATGAAATGTAAATATACATATGTATGTAGACAAGGCCGCAAACCGCTATGTACAATTGTACATATAGTCGTATTACAGTATAGGAAACCCGATACCTTTACCCTACTGCTTGCTCGATGAGAAGTAATTAATATATTTCATATCTTAGACCATTAGTAACGCCATTACACAACTTCTGTAAAAACAGACAGACGCACTATTACTGTATGACCCGTAACATGTTTTTTTTTAAATATAGAAAATAATAAGTAACAATACAATGAAAAAGTAAACATACACAGTAATTCCAAATTGTAAAGAAAATTCAAGATATTTTTTAAAAAATAGAATTTCTTTTTTTTTTTATTTATGTACCAGAAAAAAAAACATACAAGTGAAAACAGATACCATGTGTACATAGGATGACTTATCTCTTTAAGAGATCTCTACCAGAAACCCTCAAGCGTGAGAAAATATAAAAATAATATTGCGGTGCGGTGTAGGTACAAACTACAAACATCAATTATAATATAAATATAAACATATACAAACATACACACATACGTACATAGATACTTACATACATTTATTATATATACATATATACATACATATTACATATATATTTGTATTGAAATATCAAAGTAATTTTAAAATAAAAAACAGTAAATGAATTGTTCAATCGTAAATTTTATTTCATATACGGTTTGATGTTATGGTGATAAGTGTTATCACCGACGTAACCATTTGGCGTGAATTTATACGATTGTTTTGGATTAATCGCCGATACAACTCTCACTATTTTCTTCGGAGGTTCTTCCACAAATAACATATTGTCTAGAGATGTATTAGATGGAACCACTTTGCTTTCAGGTTCTTTACGTTTTGGAAGATAAGAACTTAGATTACCAGCCATCGATCCCAATAAGGGTACCCCTCTTATGATACAATATGAAAAATATATCAAAATGGCATAACTTAAACACAACAGTATTATGTAAAATATAAGTCGTCCTTTGTTTTCAGAAATAGATTTTCTTAAAGCATTGAAACAACTGACGTTCTTATTGGAATGAATCGTAGGGTCGTGAGTAGTGGAACAGTCTTTATATATAGGCACCAGATTCGTTTTACTGACAAATTTACAACATTGTATTGGATATAGTTTGTCTTTATTTGTTACTTGCCACTTTGAACCTTTAAAATCCGTATAGTCCTCAACGCCACAACATTCGTAATTTATCATAATATAATTCCACAGTTCCGTAATAAGATCATTGTCTTTACCATAGTTGGTAATTATTGTTGATCGCATAAAAGCACGTGTTTTTTCATTATTTGTATAAATATTATATGTTCCAGTTACAAAAAACACCCAAAAGGCTGTTGAAGATATGACAGTGACGAGAAAAATGTATGATTTGATAGCGCATTTCATTTTGCACCCAGCACCAAGTATGCCGCAACAAGATGTGAGACTTATCAAAATTCCTATTGGAATGAGAATCGTCGTCATTGGTGTGAACCAAAGTTTTAAATTAACGAAATTGGCGATAACCGAAACTAAAGAACTCTTGGTCACTGTATAGTTCACATCGCGGAAGAAATCAGTGTTAATGATGCACCAAACGCAAATTGCACACGTAACGATGCCTATTAATAAAAAAAATATATTTGTAAAGCCCAAACAAGTACGTGGCAGTCCAATTGTGTGCATTTTACTAGCCTAATAAACTTTTAAAAACAATAAATAGAAAAACCTCGCAATTTGTGCATCACTTTTGACATTTGAATAAATTTCAAAACGATATGCAATTTTGAATAAAACCTTTTTGAATATTAAAGAAATATATCTCAAAGATTATTCACAGATAGCTATTATCTTGATATGGTTTTATATAAAAAAAAGTTTATGTTGTGTTTGTGATTATTAAATAGTAAATACTAATTAACTTTAATTTAGTTTTTAATTAATTATATAACAAAAAAATTATCAACAAATACAATTAAATTACATATTTCCTAACAAAACTCACCTGTCTAAGATTAGCATTGGCACGGCTGAAGCAACCAAGCAGATCAGGAACGTTCTTCGGCTGTTGGGATCCCGTTCCCAATGTATAGTTTGTGTTACTTCCCCATACATAAGCGTCGCAGGGCTCTGAGCCAGATTGTTTGTACATATAGTGCTTATCGAGCATAGCATGCTCTATTGCTTTATAATCATCTTTATCTTGGATATCTGTGTTAACACCTGGTTAAGAAAGATTCAACCATTCAGGTTATTATTTAAGTTTTTATATATTTGTTTTTGACAGTAATTAATATAAATTAAGTCTTACATCTGCAAGTCTTTTAAGTATAAGATTTCTTATAATTTGTAAATAAATTAATTGTATGTCGCATCATATAAAAGTTCTATCATCCTAGATTGCCAACCACTACGTCTTTTATATTTTCCAAGCATGTAAATATGTATAGGTACATGGTACATACATTATTTTACTATGATGACGAACACGAATATTATACAAAGCATTTTATTGTAAAGAAAAATTAATATAAACCAGCTTGCGTAAATAATTGATTAAATCCACTCCAACTATAAAAAATATTTCTTACCAAGTTTCATAAGAGCAACTGCAGAATGTATTTGCCCATAGAAAATACTTCTATGCAATGGAGTATAACCTGATTCTCGATCGCGAGCATTTATGAATGCGTCAGAGGAATGACGTACAAGCCATTCCATTAAGCCATTTCTGCCTCTAGATGCAGTCATGTGCAAAGCAGTTCGACCCTATAAAATAGAGCTTTTTTTACATGTATACTAATATTTTAAAGAGGTAAAGATTGTGAGTTTGTGACGTTGTAGAGGGTAATCTCTGGATCTACTGAACCGATTTAGATGAAATTTGGTAAGAAGATAGTTTAACACCCTGGGAAGGACATAGGATACTTTATATCCTGGAAATCACCTCTTAAGGGGGTGAAAATGGGGCTGAAAGTTTGTAATGGGAAACAAGCTAGTCTCTAATAAATTCACTTAATAAAATTTTAACCTCACTAACTCACTCATCCAACAGAATGATAAATATTGCTGTTACATTTCAATTGGACATAGAGTCAAAAATATACTTCTATACAGGAGCATAGGATACATAGGAATGTAAGGTTAACATGAAATATTAATTTATACATAAAATGTAATTATAACCATTGAAATGAAATAAAAAATATTATAATCATTTTTTTTAATAGTTTCATGATAGTCCGAAGTGTAGATTTCACTATTTTATTACTTGAAAATAGTTATAAAAGGCTTACCTCAAAATCAAATGCCTTGGCAAAATTAGCACAAGTTGATTTAATAAAACTGGCAAGAGATTCATCACTAATAGATCTCTTGGTTATGGCACTAGTCAAAACCTGTCCATGAATCCTTGACTTACAATGTCTAGTACAATCTACTTCAATAGTTTTATTCATTTTTTATTTATTTAAATAAAAATCAATAAGTATAAATATAATTTACAGGTACAGAATAGATATGGAACAGTAAAATATTTTGTATGAGCAATGATAGGGGTGGCTAAGCCAGACCCCATAGGGTCTTGGTTTCTTTAACACCACATAATGGTTTGTGTGAAAATCTGAAAAACAATAAAATAAATACGATATAATTATTTATAAAATAGTCACAACTGAATTTACAGGCTACATAATAAAAATATTTTTCTCTAGCAAAAGTAATGCAATATTGCATATTCTTAATATTTCCAATTTTGTAAGATAATATTGGTATAATTATAATAACTATGTGAATATAATATGTATAATACTTCACATTTCGAATGAAATATGATAGCATAGTACGTTAACAAAATTAGATTTTTATAAAGTTATATAAATTATCATCATGTTAAAATAAACAATAATAGTATTATATTACATTTGCCCTTGACATTGAGTATTTAAATTTAGAAAGTTGAATTCGAAATAACATACCTTTACATGAAAACAGTTGCACAAATCGGTTTAATCCAGGAAATTATGCAAGACATCTTATTTCACCTGTAGCTCTTTAAATATAGATTCATTAATTGCACTATAACTATTATAAGTACATTAATTTTTAATAATTTTTCCAAAGTTTACGAAAATCTAGATTTTGTTAGGGATATCACCTTGACAAAAAGTCAAAACTCAAAAACTGTCAAAATGACAACATTGGCTAAAAATGTTCAATGTTGGAACTCTTGGAAGCGTAATGAATTATGTTGGAAGCACAGAGTACACTGCTACAATCTACATACTCATTGGATAGTGGTGAAAAAGTGTCCGTCGAATTATGTTAAATTAGGGTAGCGCCACGGTAGTAAGTGGTATATTTTGAAGAAAATGCCAAAAGTATCTCGATCATTTCTACATTTATATCACCAGTTTTTTCGGTTAAATTTACTAAATTACTTTGGACTACATAAATACTACAATAACTACTCAAGTCACCCAAAATATGATTTTTCAACTGAGACGCGTCACTCCGTTTACAACTGCTAATTTATATTATACCCTCTCGCTACGCTAGCGTCATACTGGCGGGGGTTTGAACTATTATTTACGGCTTACAGCTCTTACAAGTGGACACTTTTTCAACTTGTCTTCACTATATGATAATTCTCTTATTCTCTCTTTAAGTTTGAAACTATGCTTAGACGAATAATAAAAACACTAACTATCGCAATGACTTCATACCTATGGATTTATCTTATTGTAGATAATTTTTAATAATCTAAAATATATTTTAAATATTAATATAATAACATTTTTTTAATTTTTCCAACGAGGATCAATCCTGAAGCCTTTCAAGAATAGCTTCAAGAAAGGAAAAAAAATCTCAAATTCATAGTTTAACTATTACCACACTTGCAATGTTCATTTTCAATCAGAAAAAGATTATTACTTAATTTTTGCATAACTAATTGAAAAGTTGTGATAAAAATGTTTCCGGTTAATTATCATTCATTTATTTATCCAGTAAGCCCCTGGATTTTTTCATTTCTTAAATTTTATAATTAATATGTTAAAATAATTTTTATTGATAAAGTATCCTAAATAGTCCTTTTTTATTTTAGTTCATGGTTTATAACCTTTGCAATTTTTGCAAGTGCAACTAGATTTTTTTCTAAAATCATCTACATCCCATTCCGGATTGAATGACACCGTGTTTATATTTTTACGAGACTGCTGAAAAAAGTTGACCAAAAAGGCACTTGTTGACTAGACTTTTATTATACATTTGAATATACTCTCTCTGCGCGTCCACTATTTTTTTTTTTTAATTTTTGAACAACTTTTACATCTTTGGACCTTGTCTATATTGTTCATGGTTTGTAGCTATGACACGGATGAAGAATTTTAATCTGTAATAAAAATTTATTTTTACGTCAAAATTGTCAAATATCAGATGTTCATCTTGTTGGGTAATCACTAATCACATAAAAATAATTTAAAACAACAAGAAGAAAAGTTTTTAACAATGTTAAAAATATTAAATGCCACATCTAAGCTGTCTAGAACAGCTCTTTCAAGGTAGAAACAGATGATAATTCTTGTTTTTTATTCTATGTGTTAGTCCTTCATTAATATTTAATAGTATAATTTCTTTAGGTCTGCGCCAGCTTTCTCTACATCTTCTTTACGATTAGCGATAGATGATTCTGTCAACCGTAAAGAGGCACCTATCATTGATAATGAAGCCGTGTTAGCTCTGCCTGAAGAAGTGAAGGAGAGAAGTGTTCAAGATGCCACTATCACTGTGCCTAAGAAGGTAGAAATAAAATTAAATTTATTCAAAATTGTACTATGTTTGTTGTATCCTTAAATTTAAACTTGTTTCTTTAAGTTTAAATTTTATAATAATAATTATTTTCTTGATTTTCCTCAGGTTGATTTAACTCCAATTACTGGAATACCCGAAGAACATATTAAAACTCGTAGAGTTCGCATCTACCAACCTTCAAAGAATGCTATGCAAAGTGGAACCAGCAACACTCATCACTGGGAAATGGAGTTTGATACTCGCCAACGATGGGAAAATCCTCTAATGGGCTGGACTTCTACTGGAGACCCTTTGTCTAACATGAAAATTGAGTTTTCATCTCCTGATGAAGCTATTGAACACTGTGAAAAGAATGGTTGGATGTGGTACTTGGATGTTCCCAAACTAGACAAAGAATTCAAGCCTAAGAGCTATGGAGTTAATTTTTCATGGAATCGCCGTACTAGAGTATCCACCAAGTAGATCATGAAATGAAATAAGATTCCTTTTTATTTATAGGCAAATGTAATGGTGTATAAGTAATTTTAGCTACAAATTCAGGTTAAATTACTTGTGCCATATTATATTTTTTGTTAAAAGTATTTAGTTTGACATTAAATCTAAAGTAATAAAAGCTCTTTTTTATTATTGTGCCATAAATGCAATTTCAGATCAAAAAAAACCGTTAAGAAACATATAATTAATGCATATTTCAAAGTCGAAGATTTTCATCTCATACAAAAAAAATAAGCTTAAATAAATGTCAATAGATTTATAATACCATGTTCATGTATGTAAAGCTAGAAAAGCAAATTGAGCAGAATCGCTTAAAACTATGTGCATAAATTAGTGCTAATTTAGTGCCAAAAGTTAAAATTTGATGCTCTTATATTTTGGCAGAAAATTAGAAAACTGCTAGCTTTTAGTAAGGCAAGCAGTGTCACCGCCTAATACGCTAATCGCATAACACAGCGTCAAATCAATTTAGCATTAATTTAGTGCTCAATTAGTGCTGGCCATCCATGAAGACAAATATAAAGATTTATAGTTTTTTTTTATTTTTATACAACAAAACTTGCTAATTTACCCGTTTATTTTTTTTGTTATTTGAATGTAAGAAATACATGATACATTTATTCATGAATTGTCTCGCTTCGTTCGGCTGAGTTAGTGCACCATGGTGGCTAGCCTAGTCCGCCAGTCGTCGGCGCGATTTCGTTGAGCTAGGACTATGTGTATAAATATTAAATACACCATTATTATGAATTCCAAAGAGTGAGTGAGAGTGAGTGTATACTGCTCTCTGGGACAGCCTGGGTGGTCTAGTGGTTAAGTGTATTTGTGTGAGTATGTATTCGTGCGTGCGTGTGTGTGTGCATGTGTGCGTTTGTTACTTTACTGTTAAGGGTAGGTCACCCAGCGAAGTGAGATGTACCTAGTCTCTGTTAACTACTTAACATATAAAACAAGAACTACACTTCAGCATAAATAGAAATTTTAACATGTCTAAATAAGTTTCGGTTGCGGTTTCGGCCGAAACTGAGACCGAGGCCGAAGGTTCGGTTTCGGTTTCGGCTGCAAATCCTGTTTCGGTCGGAAACTATTACTTATGTTTCACTATGTGTAACTCAGCTCAGAGCCGGTTCAAATATTCAGTTCACAGTAGCTAGAGCCGTTGAGCTGCGGCTCAGTTGCTAGATAATCGGTTCACAGCTCAATATTACTTAATATGGCTCCGTGCATCACTTCAGCGCCACCTAACGTCAGCTATTTCGATGGACCCGAGCCGACGGACCTGTACTATAGTCTATAATCTATACTTTTTACAGACAGGTCAAATTAATTGTTTAATATTTTTTATTCTTATAATAATAATAATTAATTACACGCTCCGTGTTTTAAAATAATATTAGGATAAAATCTAAATATACTTTATTCAAATAGACTTTTACAAGCACTTTTGAATCGTCAATTTTACATTTTAAATTTTCAGTGTAGTTAGTTTGTGCGGAAGTTACCACCGTCTCGGAAGGCAGTTCTACTACTTAGTTTTATACAACAATAAACTAATATTAAGTAATAGTTTTATAGATTAAATTGAACAGAGTCATAAATTAGCTGTAAATCTATAGTTATAAGTACCCATATAACATCAATTGAGCTGAACTGTGAGCCGGTTCACAGCTCCGGTTCAAGCATATGACTCATGAGCTGACCTGCAGCTCATAAAAATTCATTGAGTTACCCATGTCTACTTATGTCATTTGTGTCGAAGCGAAAGTATAATAAGGTACTAAGTACTACCAGAAGATGGCGTTACTGATATATATTTATTTTTAAAATTTAAAAGGATTTATTGTGGGCAGTGTGAGACGTACAGTATATTTTATTTATGTCTCACACGTATACCATAGAATTTTACATTTAAAAATATATACAGTAAGTTTACACTAGGTCAGCCCTGTGATAAGTAGTTAGTTGATATGTTACCGGCCAATCTAGATTTCAGGCCGAACCGGTTCATCCAAAGTGGAGATCCCATAAGGATCTCCTTATTCCTTGCTAAACTGACATATTTGTAGAGGAACCAATAGTTGAACCAGGAGGTACCCATAGGAGTATACCATAGGCACTTTATATTTTATAAAGAGGAATTCTATCATAAATTATCCCAGAGAGTTATAGATGCTACATATTTTATACAATATATATTTTTGTATTTTATGTGTACCTAAACCGTTCTGTCACGGTTTTTGTTCTTGATATATTTTAGCAATACTTGCTGTTGAAATGTTGCCAATAGTGATACTCGTAATGTAAATTATCAAAGGTCGTGGTAAAGAAAAATACAATTATTCGATATTTTTTTAATCATACTTTTCAACATGGTTAATTTGTATTTTGTACCTCGGAAGAAAATCATATTTCGCATGTTTCACTTGAAATGTTTATTTACATATAATACAATTTAAATTTAACTAATATATTACATAAGTTGAACAAATTGAACAATGTTCAACGCGACACAGACGTGGAACATGGACTGTGCGATCTTTCCTCTTCAAGAGAAAGCTTTCATAATAGATTTTCATTTTCAACCAGTGGTTCTTTTTACTTTATATTTCCAATAATAGCTTGTATCGCTCAATCCATGCTGCCTATGGTATTACATAATGCATTTGTCTAGCTACCATAGTTTGAAATGTACATCGTACATCTTCACAAATATTTTTTTAAAGTAATTCTAAATTTTACTACATAAAATTATGAAAAATTATTGCACTCTCTTTTTATTACCTATTTACATAATAATAAAACAGTATATTTTAAACATTACTAATCTATCGTAACGTCATTTTCGTTAGAATTTAAAAATTCCGGTTAAAACGGTTTTAAACGCTAAAATATTAAAGGATTTTTAAAAGCAGTAGTGTAAATCTTGTAAAAGCGCGGTGTTAACAATATTACTTTTTAAAGTGTAAGGGTCGAAAATCTAAAATCACTTAGAAATTAATTTAGAACGTACCTAATTTCCTTTATTAAAATTCTTTTAGAAAGGTCATGCATCTACATAAAAGTAGCCAATATTCAAAATTTATAATTGCGTTGAAAATTTTACTTATAAACGTTCCATGAATTGTACATTATATTTTTCTTTTAAAATACATACTTAAAAATTTGTTACAGTATTCAATTTATTGCAAGACCAGACGTAAACAAGAGACGGTGGTCTCATTTCATTTTAATCTTATTATATAATAAAGTTACATAATTTAAGAATTTGGTCTCTATTCGTTAGAAGTTTTAACTAATTTGTTAAAAAATTATGTATTGGTCGTCTACAAGGATTAAATTAAAACTTTTCGGTAATGAAATATAATACAATTTTTAACCCAGTGTCACTGTTAAAACCCAATAATAAATATATCTAAGGATTATGATATTATTAGGATATTGGGTAAACAGGAGAATAGGATGCCAATTGCTGCACGATTTGCATGCTCTTTGGGGCTTCTATAATAAGTGAACGTCAAGAATAAGTATTTACTTAATGCTTTTTTTAAAAGAAATCTTCTATTTTGCTTGACACTTTCTTTTCTTTCTAATCCAACCAAAGCCTAAAATATCTGATTTAAAATACCTGAATGCGCATACTTTTTAGTTTTTTTTTTCAAAACATATTTTAGTTAAATAATTTAATAATGTCCCAACATATTATTACATTAACATATTAAACAGTTTTAAATGAAATATTCTTTGAAAAAATCTATCTTTCTATCTTGCATATCTGTCCCTTAAGGAATTTATCAGCTCAACTTTACACCGCACATGTTTACTTATACACATTATTATAAACGAGTAATCTTAGGTATACTTTTAAAAAAGCAGTATTTTTAATCACAGATCACGCTTCACTACTGTAGCCAGAGCGCTATTTAGGTACCTACTCTGTTATCGGTAGCGATACGTCTTTTAGCATCTGACATCCACTTCATTGCTAAACACACTTCCCAAATACACTAATTCATTTACTTCTTTAAGTGACATACTAACTAACCATTCAACCAAGTTTTTACAATCAATCTTCCATCATCATGTTTTGTCAAAATATTCTACGTTAGTTTAAGGGTACGGTGAATACCATCATATGAATTATATTTTACTTTTACATAAAACAATCTACAATGCTCCAGAATATGAGCCAAAAAAAACACACAGACTATAATAAAAGAAACATTTTAAAATATAGGTAGTATTTTTAACTCATAGAACGCGTGGAACTTTTTTTGGTTGTTGATACCATAAAATAAATATTTTGGGACGTTAACACACAGCACCATCTAGTTCCATGGTAAGCTACGAGTCTTGTGTTATGGATACCAGATAGTTGATACACTACACATACATATATAACTTTAAATAGATACATTTTTATAATATATAAATATAGATATATAATATATAAATATACACATAAATATAAAAAAGGGTGTATACATTCGTCAGGTCACGCAATTTCAATGACACTGGGTTAATCTCTACTTGAATATAAAAAATCGAGGTAAGTTCCCGACTGTTTATTTAATGTTGTTAAATTTTAATATAATATTTTGTGTAACACAAACATCTACGTATAAATAAGCTATATATTATATGTATATTATAAATGTATCTAAATAATAAAATTCATATTAATTTATATTGCTATATTGCAACTACATATGCTTATTATAAATAGCGGAAAGAAACTTTATATAACAAGAAATCCATTGGACGGGTACATGCAAAACATTACTACAGGAAAATAAATAAAGCTTTAATTTAAATATTAGATATTTTTAAATAAAAAGTACAATTTTTAAACGATAAATTGCGGTTTTATTTTTTTTTTATTTTCTTTAACATGTTGAATATATTGGCATTACTTAACATACAACGTTCGATAAGCTAATTAATACTTATTAAAATTTTATTTATTTTAATTTAAACTTTGTTTTTCTTCTTTGTAACAATATGGACTTTCTATTCATATGTAAATGTATAATCTGAGCAGTACGACATAATAAAAGAATCTAGTTCTTTTGTAACAAAATATTGTCAGCTCAAGGTAACTATTTACAAATTGTTTGCTAATGTGTATGTTACTTAATAATAAAATTATAATATTTGTGCGATTTTTTAATATTTATTACTATTTTATAAAATGCGCTTTATATACGAGTAGGTACGTATTCTTTGCAATGCTGGGTACACAGAACATATATTTTTTTATTGTTGAAAGTTATTATATGTTTTGATTTTGTTAGAGAATACGAAAGTTATAAAGATACATTTTGTATTAAGGTCAATTTTCGTTTTTGTTAATAAACCTATTTATTAATTTTAAAATGGAATATTAAACAAAATGCTGGAATTATTAAAACTATTGATACCTAAGTTTTTTTTGCTAATGTTAATCTAAATTAAAAAAGTTTTTACTCTTAAACTATAATTATTATCATGGACTATTTCTATAAATCCTATTAAATTTATTGCGCAAGTAAAACGTTTATTATTCATTTAAAAAAAACTGCGACGTTGTTCCAGTCGGTGGCTTATATATTGTATATAATAACGCTATTTACAATAACAAAGTAATATACATTCATTCAACGCTACTCTATTTGGGGTACTTAATTATCTATAATAAAAAACAGCTAACGAACAAATGGGCGTTTATTAAGCGTAAGCTAAAACTGTATCAATCTGTTCTCGAGTGAACTATGTTATTGCGCTTGGAAGTCTCCGGTAATAATAAATTTAAACGATCGTCTTCAATGTTAAATATAACAATATCACTACCTAGTCTAAAATTTAAACAAATCACAATACTAACCGTTGTAATATCACTGTTTCCCGCCTGTGAACACAATATTCGATCTTTGACAGTTCTGACAGTTGACACTGACGTTTCGCTTATATAATCTGTGGTTCTGTGGCTGAGTAGCTAAGAGCCGGGAGCCTCGGGCTCGTCGGGTGTCGATCAGCTGGGGTGTTCGTCGCTCTCTCTGTGCACTAGCACGCGGACGACGGTAGGGGGCGCGGCGGGCGGCGGCGCGGCGTCGGGGGACGCTTCCGTCACAAGGATGCTGACAGCGCTGTTGGCGTGAGGGGAGGGGGTACAAGCGCGCGCGGGCGGGGTGGGACGACGCGCAGAGCTACGCCGGGAGGTCAGACGAAGTGAACCTGTAATATTAATGTTGGTTTGTTATGCCTTTTTAATTTTTATTTTACTTCATCCCTTATTTAGATATACCGTTATTTACTTCTAAATCAAATAAAAGCATCCCAGGCTTATTACTGTTTTTTTTTAATTTTATGAAATAACAATATAATGTTTTTTAGTTTTGATCGCTATTGAAAAAAGTTATGAAGTCATTTCTAATTTGTGATTTAATTGATGAAATTAAATTATATATTTATTATTTACCTGTTCCAACCAAGGCCTAAAGATATCTTGACGATATTAAAATTAAAAAGGACGACACAAAGGCAAACATGCAGCTGGATTTCAAAGAAATTAGCAAACACCTTTGCAAGCGCTTATTTGCGTAAGACGCATGAAGAAGAGGGGTAAGCATGCACAAGCTTATTAATAATCTGAAATTTAAAATAACGATAAAGGTAACAGCAATATTTAAGGGAAACGTTTATTAAATAAACATATTAAATAAAATATTGTATAATTTACTAAAAGGGAGACAGAAGTACATATACTATCTATTGGTATACGTCGATCATTTTACAATTATTAAACTAAACATTCATGCATTTGTAACAATAAACATTACTTTAGCATTACGTCTAACTTTAAGACGTAATGCGATAATAAAAACATATAAAATGAAAACCTTCATATTATTAAATTTAGAAAGTTATATTGTATACTGATTTCTTTAAGAATATAGGATAATTTGATGAAACTTTTCATTTTTATTCTAACTACAGGGAAAGACACAAAAAGCAAAACATTACATATGAACCTGCTCGTTTCGGGACGACGTCCTCGTCCACGGCATCCTGATGTCGAAGGAATAGGGGCAAGCCATATGCAGACCTTCTGCGAAGTGGGGCAGTTTCTGAACCACTAGCCTGGAAAAAATTATACAGTATATTTTTAACAAAGGGTATAAATAATAAGCCATGCCAAAATTATAAGTACTGATGCCTCCACGAAGAGTTTGCAATGCTTAAGTTTGCTGAACTAAATAATAATCCTGTACAAACATAAATACGAAACTTTTTCTAGAAACGTAAATACAATATATATTTGTGCTCCTTTTTCTGATTCTGCCATTTTAGCGCTACATGATGCCGAGTCTTTATCTTAACTGGACCTCAGGAATTTGGTTAGTATAAATGTTTGGTTTGTGCGGCAAAAGTACGCGTAACAATGGGCTTATGTAATGTAATGTAGGGTGGACTCAATTTTCCGCACGTAAACTCTAAATTGGTATAAAAGTACAACACTACAACTAAAAATTGACTTAATAAACATTTCATATAACCGTAAATTCTGTAAAGCCTGCATTCCTGTATTTTGTTGAAAAAACTTTTTAATTTAGGTACAAAATATTTGCAAAATTACCTGTTCATTTGGAGTTGCTCCAGGCAGCAATAAAAGTGGTAAATTAAGCCAAGCTCCGCCAATATCACTCAGATCAGAAGCATCAGATGCTCTCGATGATTTTCGACTGGACGCGTGTGATCCTCTCCGTACGTGCAACAACGCACTTAATTTACCTCCCCAACCGTGCCCTGGAGACCACTTCGTACTCTCTTCCTCTTGTGAAGGACTTCGATTTTTCCTTCTACGTAAGGAATACAAAAAAATGGGGTGAAATTAATGTGATTTTTACAGTTATTTGAAATAGTTCAACTTTTGACCAGCCAGTTTGAATTTTTGGGATGGCACAAGATGATGATTACTGGACTATAATTTAATAAAATCAATATCTTACATTTAAAATTAAAAGTAAAACTAACATTATAGTTTTTTTTAAATACTCCAAAGCTAATTTAAACTAAATTCTATCTTTTTATGTATATTCTTACTTTACATATTCTCTCCATGACCGTTGTATTGTTCGTGCAGCTTTGTCTTCCCTTTTCCATATTCGTGTAGAAGACACTATTTCTAACTCTTTTCTCGTTGGGAATTGTTTCTTAAATTTAATATCCATTTGTTCTTGTAACTGTCTAAAAGTATCAGTTTCCTCCACATGACCTAATACATGCTTAACGAGTGCATGTAAAATGTCTAAGCAGTGGATTTTGTTACCCCTAGCAATAGGTAAATTAAAACTGACAAGAGCCACTGTATTCGGTTTAGATATTCCTAGAGGAGGGTCTAAAGAAGCTATAAAGTCAGATAATTGAACAAAACTAATAAATTGAGTAGCGTGTGGATCATATCTGAAAAAAAATTGATTTTTTTTACTATGGCGATATACAATATAGAATAACATATAAGAAAGTGATCTCGAAAACGAAAATTTATTAATTGTGTCTTAACCCTTAAGTACTAAAAACTTACTTAGACCATCTGATATAAAACATTTCTAAGTCATCTTCAACGATACCAATCTCTTCTTCTTGATGAGCTTGATTGAAATTCTCAAGAATAATAGCAATGTACATGTTTATTACAATCATATAGCTTATGATGATAAAAGATGTGAAATATGTTATAGCTAACAAAGGACTTCCGCAGTTTCCATTAGTGTGTCCGTGGTCACCAAGCTCACAATCAGGAGGTTGAATCATGAGAGATTCTAAAACATCGTTCCAACCAGCAGATGTCATAAGACTGAAAGTAAATATAAAAATTATATATAAAATAATGAGTATAATATTTGCTTAAATTGAGAAATATCAGGAAATAGGATAGTACAATAATTACAATAAAAAAAATTCAAAAAAACTTACCGAAAAAGTAATTGCATGCTTCTACCAAACGTTTGAAAATTGACAATATCATCTAATGCGCCCTGTTCTTTCACGTGTCCGAACACAGACATGCCAATAATCGCGTAGATGAATGTTATTAAGGCAAGTAAGGCGCCAATATTGAATAGTGCGGGTAACGATACCACTAAGGCGAACAACAGTTTCCTTATGCCTTTCGCGGCCTGAAAAGAAAGGGTTTGAACATTAGAAAAATACCATCAGATTTATACAAATTATAGATTGTAACAAAAATTCGGGTACTTACTTTAATCAGTCTTAAAATTCTCCCTATGCGGAAAACTCGAACTACTCGAAGTAAAGTGGGAGATATTGGCAAATCTATCATTATATCTTCCATGACGATACCTAATATAGAAGCTAGAACTAGCAAAAAGTCGAAAACATTCCATGGTACTGTAAAATAGTGATAGCGTAGACCTACAATTTTAACTATTGCCTCTGAAAAGAGAAAATAATGATTAATAATTTAAATATATACATGGTAACTACTTTAATATCTACAAAATTAATGCACAAAACATCTTACCTAAGCCAAAAACAGTAGTAAAAAACGCATTACTAACTTCTAATACGAAAAATACCGAATGCGGTTGGTCGTAATGCTCTATGCCCATTGTGAGCATATTTAAGAATATAAGAACGAATATAGCTATTTCAAACCTCCTTGAATTTGATAAATCGTAAAACATAGCTAGAAATTGATTCCTTGGCCTCTTTATTACTTTCTGGGGCTTTTTCCTACCTAACTTTTTCATAGCCGTATAATAATGCTTTTGGCTTTCCGTGAGAAACATTTCAAGCACTCCACCCTCATACTGAAAAAAAAACGTTTATTATATTAAATATAACAGAAATCTCTTTAAAGATATTTGAAAAAAAAAAGAATTTTTACCTTTTTTTTGAGCATATTAAAGTTATCTATAATTACTCCTATAAATAGATTAAGTGTGAAGAATGATCCGCATACGATAAATATAACAAAGTATATATAAGCGTAAAGATTAGCTTCTCTCGCTGGTTGTAAGTTTACTCCTCTAGCATCAACTGCGTCAGCCATCACTTCCATCCAACCTTCGAATGTAGCTACTTGAAATAAAGCTAAATATGCTATTCCAACGTGATCGAAGGATATTTTTGAATTGATCCACGTATAATTGTTGTATTCACACTCCCATTTGTCATTAACTATCTGAAATATTTATCATGTTACTGCTAGTTAGTATACAAAATATTCGAATAAAAATGTGTTCATTCAAAAAAACTACATAAGTTCTTACCTCTAAGGGTAATAATTCCCCATCACCATCCACACATTTAAAAAATTTTCCTCCAAAAAACTGCACTCCCATGATAGAAAATATTAGCCAAAACACTAGACATACTAGTAACACATTGAAAATACTAGGTATAGCGTACATAAGAGCGTTCACAACTATACGCATACCTTGCCATCGGGAAATGGCTCTTAGAGGCCTTAATGCCCTCAGAGTTCTAAGAGATCGCAATACTTTTAAATTTTCATTTTCTTCTATTAACAAACTAAATACTGATACCTGAAAGACAAAATGACTTAATACTGATGTTACTAAAACTATTTGTGGTGTTTAAATTTTTTCATCGATTTTAAAGAAGGAGGAGGTGCTAAGTTTGGTTGTATTTTTAATAATGATTGTGTCTTATTTGATTTTACTTATTTTTGAGTAATTTTAAAGTCAATGTATTTTTAGTACTAAAGTTTTACGTAATTTCGAATACTTACGAACACTATTGTAAAATCAAGTAACGTCCAGAAACTTGTGAAGTATCGGTAGAAGCCCAACGCTATCCACTTGAAAAACATCTCTATAACAAATATCATGCAGAAGCTGAGGTTTGTCCAATAAAGTATTTTTTTAAGTGGTTTATTTTTTTCTAAATGTATATCCTCAAAACACAGAGTAATACTTGAGGCAAAAATTAGAACTAAGACGAACCACTCAAAAGCTGGAGTATCAACGTAACGCAACACAAATGTACGTATAAACATCCATTTCTGTCCTAATTTCGTTTGAATACAAGCATCCCAGCAAGAGCACCTGAAAATAGATCGTTTGAATAAATTCTTTAATTAAATAATACCATTTACTTTTTTATCAATAAATATACAAACTGTTTATAGCATTGTCGGGGAAAACAATTTTCAGGTACTTTCGGCTCCTTTTGCTTTCCGAATCCCGGAAACTTTCCCGTGGGATCTGCATATTGACCTTTTGAGTTCTTTCTTCCACCTACAGTCAATTCATCTACATATGAAACTAATGTTTGCCAAGGATGCTTCATATCTTCTTCACCAGGTTTAGCCCCTGATTCTCTAAGTAGATTTCTGGATAATTCTCTTGCGTGACGCCTTGATTTTTCAGGAGTTGTTCTACTGGATATTTGCGCCATTTCATAGTGTTCATCATCTAAAAAAAAAATGTTATTTAATATTTTTAAAACGTGTATATTATTTTAACCATATATACTTTTACTTTAAAACGGCAATGATGAATAAATTATGTACTTGTTTTTCGTGTCTACTATGCAAGAATATCGCTTACTCAAAGCAGTCATTCATACCTCTAGAATCTGAGGGTTGTGTGTGATAACCAGACGACATCTGATTTAATAGCCTCTGAGCGGTGATGAGATCAACAGGTGAATTATCATCAAGGTTTTCTTTGGAATCTTCTCTTATACTAGTTATTTTATGTTCTGCAGCTAAGTCTCGAACATCTTTTAGAGTTTCTTGACTACCATGGTTAAAATTATTCCCTGCTTGATAAATAGGTGGAAATCCGAATTCAGAACCTACACTTATTGGCCTAAAAATGATTAAACAAATTAATTACATTCAAGTTTAATTTATCTATACTAATATTATAAAGAGGTAAAATTTGTGAGTTTGTGACGTTGTACTGAACCGATTTAGATGAAATTTGGTAAGAATATAGTTTGTGAACCTGGAAAGGACATAGAATATTTTTATCCCGGAAATCATCCCTTAAGGGGGTTACAATGGGAATGAAAGTTTCTATTGGGAAGCAAGCTAGGGATAAACCCGAGCGAAGCGAGGGTGAGTCGCTAGTAACTTATGTTATTAAACTTTAATTGAAAAAGATTTTACTAACCTATTTAACGCTTCTTGATAACTATGACTATAAATATTGTCGTGAGGAAATAATATAGTTTCTTGTACCCCTGAAAATCTTTGTTCGCTAGGAATTGACATTTTTTTCTCTACTGTACGATTTTGTAACATATATTCATTAACTAGCTCTTCTAATTTAGATTTCTTTTCAGTCTCTTTACTTCTAGATATAAGAAAACCTTTTTTTCCAATTATTGATCGTATTCTATCAAAACTTTTAGCTAATTTTGAATCGTCTCCTACTTCCTGGAAAATATTATGATAATTTTAAAATATATAATTTAATATTAAAACATTTATTAAATATATATAAACAAACCTCTTTTCTATTTTTAAGTTCTTCACTATTAAAGCTATTGAGCAGCAAAGCAAGAAAGAGGTTGAGCACCATGAAGTTGCCCATAACTAGAGCGGGTAAGAATATGAAGAAGCAGCTTTCCGCACCGCTCGCTTGTTCTGCACGCATACAATCCCATAACGGCTCGATCCACTCTCCGCATAAAATACGAAATATCATCATGAATGAGTGGAAAAAGTCGTTGAAGTTCCACCTAAGAGAATTCATAATAGAATAATATTAATTAAATTGTATAACTGCACCTTCATGTGTAAAAATAATAATAACATTTTTTTAACTATAATAATAATATAATCAAATATTAACTTTAATAAAGATTTAACGTTAGTACTAGGTACCTGTATTTTAAATACGTTACCTCGGCACAGGGTCAGGGTCGAATTTTTCTGGAGTATACGATTTAGAGAAGAGCTGCATACCAATTACAGCAAATATATAAATAACTATCACTAACACAAACGTCAAGTTACCGAGAGCACCTATAGTTGATATTATAATACTCAACAAAACTTTCATTGTAGTCCATGACTGAGCTAACTTTAACACTCGCAACTGTAAACAAACATTAATTTATTAAAACCTTAAGTTTTACTATTGACTATTTTCATAATAACATCGAATAATAAAATAAAACTTACCAATCTAAGGCCCCGTAATACGGATAGACCATCTACAAGCTCAAAAATGAGATCCAACAGGCTAGCAGATACTATGATTAAGTCGAAAATGTTCCATCCACAAGCGAAGAAGTCTTTACTCATTGCCATCACTTTCATTATACATTCTAAAGTAAATATTGACGTGAAAACCTATAATATAATTATTTTATTAAGTATCAAATGAATAGAAGAATAGTGGATGGTTTTAGACTCTATTTTAATTTTTAAGCAGTTGGTTTTATTTTAATTGTTATATTTCTCTAAAATGAATTAATTAAATTAATATATATATATATATGTAGATTCAAAAATATTAGAACAACTTACCTTATTTCCTATATCTAAAGCCTGTCTAACATTTTCACTCATTCCGTGATGCTCCAAGGCAAGAAAAAGCGTATTCAAAACTATACAAGTCGTTATGAATAGTTCGAACAATGGATCCTTCACTATTCCATATAAACAGTTCTGGAATTGCAGCCAACCTTCGTAGTCTATACAACAAGTCACGCAGCATTCGCAGTTCCTGTCCACAAGTTCATCTGTGATCAAATAATATTAATCAGTTAACGAGAAATGTGGATACTAATAAGCAACACATACACGCACACAAACATACATGTAGTAAAGTAAGAAAGTAGAAACAGAAAAGTAGCAGAAGAGCTAAAGCACAAGTAAGCTATATAAATAGCACAGATATTGTTGCGAAGCTCTCTTTTGCAGAATCAAATCAGTGTAAATTATATTATATTGAAAAATTATACATGCATTGTAAGCGGAAAATTGGGGCAGAAGAGAAAAACGCAGGAAATGTACGATATAAATTTTGAATCACCAATACGCCGTTATTTATCATAATTTTAGGATCCCATTCGAATCGCATGAAAGTTGGGCTAAATTATATTTACATAGTAAATTAAAATATTGTTTCGGAGCATATAAATGATGATCCTGAAACATACTTCAATGCGATTCTTATGACTCAACAATCAGTCAACATAAATCAACCAATCGCATCGAATCACCCTGCAGTCTTCCCAAAAGGAACAGGGGTGGACTGGGGGGCAGAAGCGTTGGCGTCTGTGTTTTACTAACCTGTGAAGTAAGTGCAATTTTGCTCGTAATTGCCCATATGAGATTTGTGCGTTGCTGCCAATAAACTGAGCTCATTAATTTTCGTCGTCTCCGCTTGGGGGAGGTCGGGCGCGCGCTTGTATGGCCAGTCCGCCCCTGACGATATTAATGAGGGTAGAAGCGAAATTGCAACAGTGTCGTACAAAAGTGTTCAATGAGGTGTTGCCTCATCGAGACGTGAAACTAACGGTGAGTATTATCAGCCACTAGGCAACCATTAATCATTTCTATAGCGTTAACAAATCTAACTAGATTATCTAGACTTGCCTTTTAAGGTTTATTTTAGGAAGGCACATAATTACAGGGTTTATAGTTACAGGATCATATGACAAAAATTTCAAAATATGAAAATTTGTGAACATTTAAAAATTTATTAAGAATAAGTTGCACAGATTTGACATGTTATTACGAATTTTTTGTTACTTTTCCTCTTATTCTGATTAAAAAATGTAGGAGAATTTTGAAAAATAATTATGTCAGTGGAATCATTCGTATAGCATAGTTAATTTATTAGCAAACAAATTCTATCTTAGTAGCTTTGCATATAAATTTTAGTAAGTACATACATAGTTTAAAATGATATTAGTTTTGCTGTGAGGACTTATAAACAAAAGCCAAGCTACCAAACGCCTTTTGATTTTGGATATAAAATAGTGCAATTTACATGGAATCCAAATTCAAATGGCTTAATATTTTATTATAAATAAATACAAGAATACTAAAAGTCTTACACGGTGCTTCTGATATCCAAAGAAACTATCATCTGAATGCAGATACAAATTAAAATAGAAGTGACTAGTTAGATTATGATCTGATAAAAACTAAAATATTTAAAAAAAAACACACTAAATCATTGTACTGTAATAAGATATTGAAATCTATAAATATGTATAATAGTATATTTTTTTGGAAAAATGCAAGCGTTTAAAGTTTTTAAAAGTATTTATAAGTTGTCATGTGTTTCGTAAGAGTAGAGAAAGTAGTTGATACCATGCACTTTAATAGCCAGTTATGGCATTCAAATTAAAACTATGCTACATAAAAAAGATGATTTTGATTAATTTGAAATAGAATATTCAAAGCATGTATTTTGAAATATTGGCTGCATTTCCGTGTTTTTGATCTTGTGCTTTCCAGTGTTGAAGCCGTGCCAATCAAGGGGTATAATGCTACCAAATTAAAAGTAAATTATTTTAAATTTTTTTCATATCATGTTATTTTATTATTCAGTCAACCTTTTTTGATAGCATTATATAAGACAGATTAAGCTGTGCGATAAAAAAATGCGTATTTTACCTAGAACCACAATCTGATTTAGATAATCCGGGTTAAGCGGATATCTTTCGTGAATGCTTGCTTTTTCACTCTTTTTCGCGTTTTCCACTTGTATCTCTGTTTTGGATTTGTCTTTTTTCTTTAATTCATGCTTTTTGTTTTCCTGTAAAATTGAAAGATAAATGTTAATAAGTCTGGATGGATAAAACTTTGCTTCGATTGATTTGGCTATTAATGACTCCAGTTCAATACGCATCTGAACATTTTTACGTTAATTATATCTATACTAGCGACTAATCTTTCCTTCATTTGGGTGCGTCTCTAGTTTCTAAAGTAGTCTACGTGTTATTCTACGTCAAAGTCTATCTGCGTACTAAACATCCAAATCAGTCCAGCCATTTTAGCATTAAGGAGAAGTAAACATATATATGTGCACACAGCATAGTACACTCATACAGTCATGCACTCTTTCAGATTTGTTATAACAGTCCGATTAAACTTATATCACCTGTTTTAGGGGTAGTGTCGTTGGTGGATGTACTGGCAACAAATGTCGTCTGTGAGGATGTGGCGCTTGGTCATCAGATGTGTGCTCTCCATCATCATGATCATCAACTACGCCAGAATCATCTAATGATGACTCTCGATTGTTACTATGATCACTGAGCTGGCGGCCGGCGACGCTTAGAGCTCCTCGACCTTCACATAAATATAAAACAGTTACATATTTCTTCGAAATGAATATAGAATTCTATTTAAATAGTCAAAATATATTTTGTGCAAACTTTTAGGTATCGATAGCTGAATTCGTGAATATATTTCAAATTAGTTTTGTGAATGAAGTGTGATCACGAATTCAGTGGTACATAAAGATTTTTACAGAATAACACTACTGTTTACAATACATTACCGCATACGAATTAAAAACTTAGAAAACGACAATAAAATATAGATTTTGCTTGGTAGAATACGATCTTATTGTCCTTTAAAGTATTGCAATCTAATAGTACCTAGGGCATTATCAGGATGTAAGGTGTGTGGGGGTGGTGGCGGAGGAGGTGGTGCTGGCAGCGGCGGCGGTGACCCGCTAGGAGTTACTGACCGCGACCTGGATCGCGAACGCGATCTGGAAAAGATTACAATTTTTATAACATCAATTAATTACTGTTTGTTGAAATATAATCATGACGGAAGTCTAGGGTTCATTCAAGCAAGACGTTTTAAGATTTATATCGTAAGAAAATCATGTGTTAACCCGATTTCAGGCCAAATTGAATTGACCTACCAAATCGGATCATCTTAAGTGCGTCAGGATATACTAACCCAGGACAATCTAGTTTGGCCTAAATACTTTGGACCTAACAAGTGTTGCCTATGCCGAACTAATTTAATTAAGTAATTTAAGTACCAGGACGACCGAGCTTCCCTCGGCATTTTATAAAAACGTGTTTTTTTACGGAAAGATGTAAAAATTGCGTTTTTTTTATCAGAAAAGACACTTATAGAGATAAAATTAAAAAAGCAAAACTACCTTAATACAATAATTGATCAAAATCGTCCGAGATACACGAAATAAATGTATATATACAAGAATATAGTTAGAATCTATAAATAATAATATAAACTAAACAGTAAATATTTTATGGTGATATTTACTTGTATTATACCCTCTCTAAATATTGTAGTAAAGTTGGCTCAACCCTGGTAAATATTGTTAGCTGAATTTTAAAGTTAGCCCACGCGTTATAGTAAAATCTATTTAAAATTTTGAAATAAGTTTAGGTCTTGTATTAAGCGAAATACTATTGAATAATACAAAGCAATTAGTTATATCTTTCGCCACTTTTATTTTATTTTCATACTAGCATTGCCCGCGGCTCCGCCCGCGTTCAGATGATCAAAAACCAAATTCTTAGGTTTTACATATTGGTATATATACTCTTACATTGCAGTTTTTGTATTTTTGCTCAGAAATAAGACATTTTACCGCGGTAAAAAGTATCCTATATGTTGACCCGGATAATCAGCTATCACCATACCAAATTTCATGAAAATCCCTCCAGTGGTTTTTCTGTGATGCGGTAACAGACAGACAGACAGACAGACAAAAATTCTAAAAACTATAGATTCGGCCTCTGTGTCGATAATAATGTCTATTTCGATAAGATTTTCCAAAAAATATTTAATGTACAGATTCGACTTAGTTACAATTTTATTATATGTATAGATTATGTTTTAATATACCAATCATATAATAGACTGTTGTTAAATGTAATCCATAAAATTTATCTCAATAGCAAAGTTGCCCAAGTTAAAGTTAAAAGTTTCCCGTTTTTAAGGCCGGTTTAGACTAAGATACTATACCCTATACTGACACTCTGTGTATACACTGAGTGTCTCTGTTTGTTGATTGCAATTAAAAAAATGTATGAATATAAAATTAGAAGCACTTGTGTTTCCACAGAGACACTGGGTGTATACACTGATTGCACCGGGTATAGTATCTTAGCCTAAACCGCCCTTTATGAGCTTCCTAGTTACTAAACTCCAACAAAACTTGGTATACAAAACACGAGCAACGCTTGCTATGCTAAATTGTCGCCTTTGTAAACACCATTATTATGCAAATTTTCTACGTGTTGACTCCAATTTGTGAATTAGGTCAGCTGGCGATAGTTCAGATTCATAACTGTCACGTGAGGACGTCATAAGAACAAGGGTTTATTAGGCGGTGAAATGATCAAAATCATGTTGTTGCTGTATTTGTTAACTTACACTATTTCTACAATATATTATAATAAAGAGTTTTATATGTTCTTTTAGATTGGCTTATATTTAAACTAGCTTTTTAACCTACTTCCAAAAAGGAGGAGGTTCTCAATTCGTCGGAATCTTTTTTTTTATGTATGTTCACCGATTACTCGAAGACGCCTAAACCGATTTGGAAAATTTTCCTTTGGTTTCAAAGGGTATACTGCCCAGGTGGTGCTATTTATATTTAAATCGAAATCGGTCAAGCGGTTTTAAAAAAAATCAACAATAAATAATTTTTTTAAATAAATTGTTTAATCGAATATACGCACCGACTTCGAAATTTTCTGATTAGGTATCTATTCTAAATGAAAAACCCCGTTTAGTTATTTTTTACATTTAAGTTTTTGCTCTTGACATTATATGGGTTTTATTATGTACTAACGACTTACCCTCGCTCTGCTCCAATGCTCCATCTGTGTCTAATATTATATGTGCTACTCCAGGTCATATTCTATCTGTGCACTAGTCTATGTACTAAATTTCATATAAATCAGTTCAGCCGTTTCAGCGTGAAAGAACAAACATGCACACACAAAACTTCGTGTTCATAATAATATTAGTCAGGTAATTGACTTGCTTCTAAGGTTCGTAGCGAGTTATCTTATGATAGATTTTTTATTCCATATACGATATATTTTTTTCTAATCGAACAGATACTTCTAGAGATTAATGCAAACAAATAAGCAAACCAACAACCAAACAAAAATAATTATATAATAATCTGTTTAGCGTTATAATTTTTCTATAAATATTGAAGATTCGTATTCAGAAATTCTATTAAGATCAAATTTGACGACAGCAAACTATTATACCTAAAATATACATAACACTTAACCTATGGTATACAAATTCACAAGTTTTCCACTTATCAAATCAAATCAATATCTTTAACATATGGCAAAGTTTGCTTAACAGTGATGTCCGATGTCAATAGAGCCTACGCCGGGTTACGACGAATTGATCCCGACCCCTCGTTATTATCCAAATACCTATTAGCACGAATCTTCAGAATTCTGATCAGACAGGTCTTCTTTCAGAATTCAAAAGACTCGATTATTGGAAGATTTGCAGATTGAGAGACTCATTGAACGAGTACATTGTCAAAAGATTACAGGTTTTTTACATGTAAATGTGTATAAAAGTAATTAGGTACGTAGACATGGTTATAGGTTTTTTAAATTTGCCCTTTGTAATTAATTTAAATAAAAGGTTTTTGGTTTTCTTTGAGAATTAAAATAAGATTCTAATAAATTGATGAAATCAAAACCAAAGCACCTTTTAATCACTTTAAAATTGTTTAATCTGAATTAATACGTAACGTAAGATCAATTAAAAATAATATCAAAGGAGTAGCGTAAATTATATATATATATATATATATATATATATATATATATATATATATATATGTATGGATAATTAAATACACTTTTTATATTTGGTAAATCCTACAAATGTCATGTTAAAAACGCGTAAGGAAATTGGCTTCAAAAATATCTCGGGAGTTCAATGAGAGGGTTAATAAAAGTTGGCCAGTATCTTATTATCTCTACGATATTACTCCAGGATTTCGTGGGCTTATTTGGAGACACCTTTTGTATTTCAAATGCCAAGTCACGTACTCTTTGTAACAAATGAACTTTCTAAATTATATCTAGATCCGATTAAGTATATTGTGCTTAGGAAATAACTTAGCTTTCTGTAGCTTTTAGTAGCAATGTTTAATATAAACTCTTTCATTGAGTGTTTGTGTTGTGATTTTATTATATCGTTTTCAACCGACTTCAAAAAGGAGGAGGTTCTCAATTCGACTGTATGTTTTTTTTATGTTTGTTACCTCAGAACTCCGTCATTTATTAACGGATTTGGACAATTTTTATTTTGTTTCAAAGGGTATACTTCCAGATTGGTCCCATTTAAATTTCAAAAAAAAATACCACCCCTAAGGGTGGAAAAACCACTAATGATGAATTTAACCTACTTCTAATTGTCATATTGACTTGAAACTTTGCAAGTATTTCTATTTCCGTTGATGGTACAGTGGTTCGGTGTTGTTGACCTGATCTGATGGCAAGGCCAGAAGGTGGATAGGTGGAACTCTTCAACGGCTAATAGTAGATACTTTGAGTTTGGGCTTATTTTGTTTGATTTGACAAGCCTAACACGTTCGAATCCTTACTTTGCTACTACTGTCTACACTAAAAAGGGAAAAATAAAAACTTTTTAACAAAAAAATAAAAACCGACTTCAAACAAAAGCACTAAAAAGTAAAAAATAACTGATTGGTAGTTTTCATTTACTATACATACCTAATCAAATATTTTCGAAGTCGGTGTGCTTTGGCTAAGTAATTAAAGCCTACCTATTAAATACATACCTAATCAAATATTTTCGAAATCGGTGCCAGCCCATACAAAGCAAAGCACACCGACTTCGAAAATATTTGATTAGGTATGTATAGTAAATGAAAACTACCAATCAGTTATTTTTTACTTTTTAGTGCTTTTGTTTGAAGTCGGTTTTTAATTTTTTGGTAAAAAGTTTTTATATTAATTGAATTTTATATTTTTAGCACTTGTAATAGAAAACATTAGGTAACTCATCTCATCTTCACCCAGGTGCTTTCTAATTTGACACTTTTTGTCTATTAAACTTTAGTTTTTATATAGATAGGTAAATTCTATTCATGTATGTTTTCCTCAAATTCTCAACACTAGTAATAATTTTAATTTTAACATCTTTTAGAAATCTCTCACATACTTATTTAAGTAATACTTACTTAGGCCCCTAATTACCACTAAATTATTTTAGTCCCTTAGGATTCAAAATAGTAAAATTAGATAAACAAAGTATGTGTATTATAAAAATAATAATATAAAAAAAGGAGAAGTACTAAAAAGTTTATATGTTTTTGAATTTTTTACTAAGCATGTAATAAAGAATTTTATACTTAAAGTAAAATAATGATGAAATGATAAAAATGTGCTTTAAAAGCAGCTACTTCATATATTTTTCATATTGAGGTTATATCATTTAATGTATAATACCAAAAACAATTGTTATTTTTTTAAATGCCTGTATACGCTCTTCAGAATAGTTGAATAGGTTGTTACGGCACTGTCACTGGTGGATAGAACCAGGTGAGTTCAAAGTGAGTTAAACTTTTTAAAATCCTTTGAAAAAGGCTGCTGAGGGCGATAAGTTAATTTTGGCGCAGGTACATGACGGGCAGAAAAAGCTTACAGCATATTACGAACAGTCCGCTGAAATAGATATAGCATTTTTATTGATCAGTAAGGCGCAAGTGAAAAT